TAACATGAAACCAACTGGTCGATATAGCGTCCCGGCTCGCACTGTAATTAGCTTCTGATTTCTTTGTTAAATGTGTGAGTTACGCCGGTAATCGCAATTTCAAAACGAAAATCTCAATGCCGGTCATCTTTTGTCTTACTCTCTTTGCTCTTTTTTTATCTTTTTTTTTACCACCCAATACACAATGACTTATTTTGCATATTGTCTTCGTCTCTTGCAAGCTGAAGTAGGACCGGAAGAGACCGAAAACAAAGTTTTGAAGGCAATTCATGGTTATCACCGTACGCTGTGTTTACGATAACGAAATGTAATTTGAAGGTATTACTTCTGCGTTTCAAACGCAAAGGAATTAAATAAGAATTACGCACGAACGTGTCAAAGGATTTTCCCTTTCAGCACACGCGTTCGGTCAAGCTGCAAACGGTAACGTTATCTTTGTTTTCTTACTTTTCTTACACTCAACTGTGTATATTTTCAACCTCTCCTTATTTCCTTTATCATAAATAGTTTACCGTCAAAACCAGCAGGAAATCATACCAGATGTAACAATTTTTATCAAAAACGACAGAGAAATGATGGTGCAACTAAGAGAAGAAAATGTCTTTTCTGCCACAGGAAGAAAATAACTTCCCTGACTTCTCATGCGACGTCCTAAAATCCGACCTCAACATCCGCTACAACTGGAGCAGCTGAAATTGATAGCACGTTCTGAGTGCGCGCGTGTAGGCTGCTTTCCTTAGCAACTAATTATTTATGTTTTTAAAGGCAGCGCTCAGACGTTAAAAATACACCGAAAAATTAACTAGACAATCTTAACACGTTGGTACACTGAGCTCTGAAACTTAACTAGAATTAAACCTATAAACAAAGCAAGATGCAGTTTTTGCGATATCAGGTAAGATTTCAATTTACTGTACACTGTAACGCAAGTGAAGCTGAAAGGACTAAACGGGAAAATTTACGCGCTAGATTGACCAATACAGCGATTGATCTTGACAGGGTGTTTCGATCATCTCATTAAGAGGATTTTTTTTCTTAAGAGGCCAGATACGTGAAAAGTATTTGAACAGGCCTCGCAACTATCATCACATTTTAAATTCAATGATAAGGAGCGACTAGTGCCACTGCACAGAATAACAAAGGGCGAAACGTTCTTATTTTAAAGATTCAAATCCGGCTAGTCCTTTTCAAGATGGGGAAGTTATTGGTCAACAAATAGCAAGCAGTATAAAACAATGGAAATCGATGATAAATGATACTCTATGCCAACTTTTCGATCGAAACCGGCCAAATATCAAAGTTTTATTCTGTAGTTATAAGATCAGAAATGTTGCTTACAGTTATCACGAAGAGTTTCTAACATTAGATAACCTTCAACCTTCTCTATACTAAAAGGGAAGATTCTTCTTTCGGCAGGGGGAGGAAAGCACGACAAATATCACTCCTTGAAATTTCTGCGTGTTTACAGGCGTAGGCTTAAATTTATTACATTTCTGTACCCAGTAAGGACACTCAAAGGATGTTAGTTGTTACTAGTCATATAAAACTTCTTTAACATTGGCCAAGGACACTGCTCACAATGTAACAATTACAACCAAGTTCTGTCAATTAAGATTAGATCTCCCTTCGTGTTGCGATACACTTCCTTTAAGTTAGGCGTGAAAATTTTGACTTTCATCAAAGAAAGACACTTTAGGGGTAGGGCTAGACCTTTTTCAATTCTCATCACTCTTACATTGAATTATGCATTGATCTTGTAAGGAGAAGTCATCATTCAATAAAGGGTCGAAACCAAAACCCGCTAAAAGGATGACTTTCATACTCCGTACAATTCACAATTTAGCTAGTTTGATAAAAGGAGCTTCGGCTCAGAAGACAATTCGAATCAATCAGAAATATGTTCGACAAATGTTGTTGACTCGATTAAAACAACTAAATTTGGTATTATCAACTGAGTTGGCTGCCGTAGAGAGTTTCTAAAGCTGATGTTTCGAGCGCCCGCACTTCTTCAAACTTGCCACAAAGTTGACCTAAAATTTGCTTTGATCTTTACTGGATATCTACTAATCTACTAAGAGAAGACAAAATTAACTAATTGACCGTGCACTTAAGTTTCAAGCATATGATTAGCTAAGAAATATTCACTGGAAAAAGAACTGAACCTCTCTCTTTTTTCCTAGATTCTCTGGTATGTGTTTTTGACTGCACTAATGTTGGCCACTCAAAATGTAATGAGCCGAAAAAATAGTAAGTTTTTGCGGAAATTCACGCCTTTACTCCTTGAATTCAGAATTAACTGACCATCAGTCAATGAAGTCGTTTTCTATTGTGCCATTCTATTTTGGGGATCTCCATACAATTTTACTGAGAGGGAGAAAGTTGAATAAAAGGAAGTTCCACCATCAAACTGATGGCGATCAGAAGGAGCAATAGAAGGTTACGAACAAAATTGCAATCAGTTCATTTAAAAAGGAAATGCTAGGCAGGCGCAAGGCGCGTGTCTTTTTTACATCAGCTGATATCAAACGAGAGGCTTTAATTTGGTATTTCGCGAGAATTCACCCCTATAAACAGAAGCGAGTTCTAATTTAGGTTTATTCAAAATAATTGAAGAAGATGAATTGAATAAACTTGAAATCTCAACGAAGAGATTTAATATTAAGGGTAGTGACACCTATTATTAATTTACAAAAAATCAGTATGAAAAAATTTTCACCGGAGCGTTAAATTCCAGTCCAGTATATCTAACTGCATTCGTAACAGATATTACCTTACTGGGTGCACGTTTCGTGTTTCTTCTAATGTTAGAATGTGACAAGAAATGCCTCGACATTCTCCGTGCAACTCGAAGAAATCCGCCACCCAATACTAGAGTGGAAATACACACCGGTTATTGTAAGGCAAGATCTGTTTGCCGAAAAGGAACTGACATAAGAACTTGCAGGAAAGGGCAGTGGATTTGAAGCAAAGCACTCAAGTGTCTAGGTAAAGTCTCGCGAGTTGACTCGCTTTGGTTTGGATAAATTACAACCATTTGATTGAACAGAATGAATGATTACAAATCAAAATCCTTAAGCCCCGTCACCATTCGATGATCATAGGTTGAATCATAAATTGGATTTTGGTATACCGATACAAAAATATCCACGTCCTAAGCCAGATCGAACGCATTCCACCATAATCCATGATTATTACCAGTTTAAGATTGAAAACGTAAGAAACTGTTCTCATTTTTTACTTCATAAATATTTTCTAACATTCTTTTTATCAGCATATTGCGGCAAACCCGCAAACATTCCACACGCCGCATTCTCTGGTTCCCGTTTCAGCTTCAACAGTCTATTAAAGTACAGATGTGATCAAGACTATGTACTCAAAGGACCAAAAAGAAGGAAATGCAGAAAAAACGGAGAGTGGTCTTAGGCTCCTACATGTTCACGAAGTAAATTGAATTTGATAATCTTTACACACCTGTAAAGACAACAACAATTGTCAGTTGAGTGTCCAAAGTAATCAGGGATTATTTTGGTTTTGCGTTATATTTTTAGGTATAATGATAAGTCAGTCTTTCAGTCAGTCAGTATGTGAATCACTCAGCCTTTCTTCTTACATCTCTCTTAAGTTAGTCAGTCAGTCTGTGAGTCAGTCTGTTAACATTTGAGTTAGGCAGTCATTCGGTGAGTTGGTCGGTCAGTTATGCATATATGAGTCAGTCTGTCTGTCAGTCAGCTTGTGAGTTAGTCAGTCGGTAAGTCGGTCAGTCAGTCAGTCAGTCAGTCGGTCAGTCAGTCAGTCAGTCAGTCAGTCAGTCAGTCCTAGGAGTCTTTCTTTTTCACATTTCTTTCAGATACTCATTTTCCGTTCGTTCAGCCACAAGAATAGTGGAGTGTTAATTGGCGGGTGGATCGTCTGGCCTATTCCACAAAGTATCACCTTAAAATACAGAAAAGACACGAAAAGAAAAGAACAAATAAAAGCGCATTGCAATAAACCGGTCTTCTTTGAAATGGTCATTACTTTTTTTGTATGTTTCTTGTTCATAGATTATATACCCTGTGGTGTAAGTCCTGATGATCTGAGGGCGAGAGTGGTCGGTGGTAAGAATTCGAAAAGAGGCTGGTGGCCCTGGCAGATTGGACTGCGCAGGGTCAACTCAAAAGGATGGAAAATTTGCGTTGTCTAGCTTATTCATTGAATGCTGTATATACCAGGAAAGCATGACTAACATTTTTGTTCCAACATTCGGCAAATCCTTCTAAGTAGCATATGACTGTCTGTGACCTTTCACAACAACGGAAAAAATTTATCTTTAAAATCTCACTTTTAATCCTATAAGGTATCCACGAACGATTCTCATTCAACTGATTTGTTTGTTTGTTTGTTTGTTTATTTTTTCACGTTATTATGTTCCCAAAAATACAGAGTAGCTCCATTTTCCGTATATAATCCCTACACAACCCACAATTCCTCTACTCGCTCTGATAGGGGGCCAAGCTCGAAACGTTACTTAAAATGCACTGGTCAAAAGCTGATTTTTTTCCGCCATAATTTTTGAGTAATTTTTTTTATTAAGAAATTATTACTTGAGAGTAATACTTGCTGTTTTCTAATTTTTTTCTTATCTCTTTTTTAAGCGGAACTTGTGCTTATCTGTGGTGGTGCTCTGATTTCTCGTCGCTGGGTTCTGACGGCTGCGCATTGTTTTTACCACAGATTTTCGAGGGGCTAGTGTTCTCTACGATTTGTCCAATAAGTAAGCACTAACTCCATTAATCCTTATTACGTTTGAAGTTTAAAAAACCTCTTTATAACTAATGATGTCATTTTTTCTATTTACATATTTGAAATTTTACATTAAAAGGCAGGATTTTGAAGGTAGCGACTTAATAAAATGAGCTCTAAAAAGGTACCAAACCCGTATGCTGTTTTGGTGGGGATGAAATATTCAAACGATTGCCATACGGAATGGCTCCGAGTAAGTTTAAGCGAGATGCCTGAATACTTTAAAAAAGGGGAAAAAAAAAGAAAGCTGCCATACGACTTGGAAAAACATTGGAAGTTTACGACTGAATCGTGTTCAAAAACACTTCCAATGGTTATCCCGTGTAATGGACTACCAAGGTCAGAGCAAGATGCTAAAAATTGCAAAATACAAAAAATGAAAGTAATAGCAATTGTCTAAAAACATACCCTATGAGCGAGAACGGAAGCAATTTGCGAGCTAAATAGTAGCACTAATCATCCAAGACAATACCTAGCAATTACACCGAAAACTTATTTGACTTGAAAATAAAATGCATGCCGTTGAGGCGATCTTCAAATGATACCTGGTGCAGAACATCCATACAGCTCTAATCTTAGGCAGCAGGGTTTAGGATCGGTGCCATTCAACATCACTGGATCCTTAGGATAGATTCTAATCGACTGTGTTCTGATTGGAGGATCTAAGGTGTTCGACTTCAAACCATTGACATTATTGTTGCCTTCAAATTCCTAAAATTTTGACAAAAATTGAGCTCATCAACTAGATTATTTGCATAATGCCAATTAAGTTAACTTCATAATATTGAAGTCAAGCTTGATTGACGAGTACGCACTGTGTGCTAGTCCTCTTTGGCTAGAGCTTTGGATCTCTCTTGTGCTCGTGACAAATTAACTAAACATTTTCCTGGCAGTGTTTTCTTTTTTAGGTAAGAAGTAACACTGAATCATTCCTTCCGAACATTTAATCAGTTACTTCTATATTTCTCCAGGAAATTCCACAAATATCGATAAGTCAAATTAGTCATCTTAATATAGTCGATAGCCTAACTGGAACAAAAACATTAATACAGATAACAATTCTGGCACCTTGTGGTAGTGTTTCCAAGTTCCTTTTTCCAAATACTCGACTTCATATTTTGTTACCCACGCCCAATCAGAATAGCTTCCTTGAGTTGTTATACCAGTTATTGACTTGCTATTGACCAGTTTGATTTGTATGTATGGCAATTTGTCCTTTGGCGCAGAGCACCAGGCATTTTTTCCGTCCAAACGTGCAAACTGAGGGGATTCATCTGCACTATTTGAAGACGATGCTGTAATACTCTCGTCTGGTATTCCTTTACTTCCCATTCCAAGGTCATCGCGGCAGCTTTCTGCAAAATAAATTAAAAAATGTGCCCTAATTCTTGGATGTTGTGGTTTCTAACTGCGGAACATCCGCCTCTTACAATTCTCCCATCATAGCTGCCATTAATCAGGTTTTTTTTATAACTCTGGGTCAAATGGTGCAGCGGCAGAATGTATCATGGGAGATGCGAAAGTGATAAATCGGGCCACAAGGTTTTCATCAAGCCTTCATTCAAAGAGGAAGAAAATCTTAACATCTCTCAAAAAAGGAAACTATTTGTTTTGACGTGTAGGTTACTCTATTTAAGAATTAAGTCTGGTTAAGATAAGAATGAATTGATGTGTGCCTCTCGATTTTCGACGGGATTGGATTATCCACAGGCAAAAATACTCACAATACATTCAGAGCTCAGCTCATTACAAGAACTTTTATAATTTGATTGTTCATGTGATAAGATGCTAATTTGGCCGTTCAATGTTACTCCTGACATAAAGGCTTTCGCAGATCTCCAAAGGTCCTTTCCCCGGGCGTACTCATACCCTTTACATAAGATAGTGTTTTCAGAGGAGGAGCAAGAAGAAGGGCAAGTGCGCCTCAGGGTTAAGACTGAGCAGCATCTGTAAATTTACAGAGCACCTACAGTTGCAAGGACCACGAACAATTCTTGCTTTGGATGGTTCGGAACAACAGTTCTTCCCAACTGGTAGAGAGTATTTTTTGAAATCTTCAAACCCTTCTAACTAAACCTTCTAATTTTCATCTGGAGACCAAAATAATGACTGTAATTATTACATCGATTTCTCAAGATTTCAATTTTCACATGACGTCATTTAAACAACAACGGCGTGACATTTTTGACAAGACTCCCTGACTTAGGCTAAAGGAAGTCTTGTAAATTTCTCTTCAGCTTAGCTTCAGTCACACTAAGTTTCATTTGATCATTATATTATTATCCTTTCCAGTTTTGGCCCTTTATTTCAAATCCCTTTGGTGTTCTATAAATCTTTATACACTATAAGAAAATATTAATAATCAATAATCAAATAATAATCAAGATGCATTCTGGGTTATACTCTCAGCTAAAAAGATCTATGAACATCGTCGATTCATCACTTTTATACCACGAAGACATTTGGAGCATACAAGATATACCATAAGGAAAATTTTCTTTAATTTACTTTGATCAGACCTATTTAGTATCATCCCTAGACCTCACCAGAAAAAAAGTAATTCAGCAGCTTCCGGTTACGTGTATCTATTTACTTTTTATACAAAATGTTAAAATCTTCCCGAAAGGTGTAGATGTGTCCATGCAAGTATCGATGAACAACTATTGAATGGTGTAGACGCGTCAAAACATACTGCATCACTAGAACCAATGTATTAAAAGGCATCACAGATGCAGTTAAAATATCGAGGAAGGAGTCCACCGATCGGCTTGTATTTATCGTTAATTGTCAAATGGCGCCTTTGAACAGCAGACATGTCTTCTTACCTTCTTGTATTGTGTAACGGCAGAAAACAAATACCCATAACAGCAGTTGGTAGACTACTCGCATGATTCCGTCTTCAACGAAATCTTTCAAAAATATTGCTAATGATAACTACGTTGCGCTAAGATCGGAGCTCTGTAATTCAGGATGTCGTCACTAAATTGCCGCTGAGTCTATTTAACGCGTCACGTTTCAGCTGACGTGATGACAACAACATTCATTTGGACTGAATGAGTTTCCAGAAATCGGATCCTTGTGTTGTCGCAGAGATTTCTGGACTCGTCACACTCGCTAGAAAGAAAATTATGACGAAATGTTGTTTCAACGTCCAAGGAGACGATTTTGGTGAGAGATCATCGCTTCTTTGCCGCCGCATTATCAGAAATAGGTGTGGGTAAATTGATTCAAGGGTTGCGCAAGGTTTTGTATAAACAACTGTGATGTATGTAGTGAAATCTAGCGATTAACTTTTCTCCATGCGCAAGGGATTAGTGAAATTGATCACGCGTAATGACCACGAATTTTAGAGATAGTAGTTATGAATCGCCAAGAAATAACTCAATAAAGCTTATTTCAGTTTTATTTACTTGTGCTAAGTCCACATCTAGCTTTTTTCTCTTGGCTTGGCTTGGTAATAGAAAAAAAGAAAACGTAATAACAGCTACCTCGAGGCAGCAGGAGATTGAAATGGTGTGCTTGAACATTAAATATTATCATGATATATTAAGTGATTAAACACCTACATTGCCTACTTGTTGTGATCAGTGAGGGGGAAGCAGCTTTGATAATCGGCTCAAAACTAAACCCTTAAACACTGAATTTTTTAGGCGCCATTTTGAAAAGTTGTGCATAACATTTTCGTCAATTGCCTCAAGAACACAGCAAAAGTAGCATAAATAGTCCCCTCCTTCTTTTGATAGTTGTATGGACAAGAAGTGCGAGTTTTTTTGAACTGTTACAAGAAACATTCTGCAGATAACAAAATTATTGACTGAGTATACATGTACCTATCGATGAAGAAACCTGGCTTTTGGTTACCTTGTCGGAAATGAGACTAAAGAATCTGCTATGTTCCGAAACTTCACGTTTTATTTTATAAAATCAACTTAATCTCCCGCTCTCTCTCACCGTTCTCTGTCTTTCGCTCTGGTCTCTCTCATTTTAAATATATAATATGATCCTATTGTTCAATCATCTGTCACTTATCGCAAAAAAACCAACCGGAAATCAATTAACGCTGAATAATCTCTCACACACTCCCCTGTTTTTCTCAACGGAGAAAAACACTAGAATGGCGCGCTCGATAAAATTTGAAATTCAATGAACGAAACAGAAAGTTAGTCCAGTATATCAGTTCAGTGTTCCTAAATATCTCTAATCGGCATCAATGTTCGCATCTTGAATGCGATAACGAGCGGCTACCGCTGCATCCCTCCTGGGCCTGAATGTCGGGGCTAAGGGGTTGAGCTGCAGAGGAGCCTGTACGTTCTCCCGATCGCAGGACAGCTCCAGTGGGTAAAGGTGTTGTACCGCCCGTTCAAGTGTTCCTTTCCCCGCTCGAAGTTTGGCAGCTCGAACGATTCCGTCTCGTCCCGAAATCAGATCTTCCACGATTCCAATTTTCCATTTATTGCGATTTCGTTCCTCGTCCTTGATGATGACTACCTCTCCTTTGGCCAAGGGCGTGGTTTGACCCTTGTGTTTCATCCGGTGTCGGCCGCTCCGGTGTCATCCGCTCTCAACCCTCGTAAATATTCGGTAGTCCACCTGGTCCACAAAGCCTGCTTGCACCTTAGCAAATATTTAGCTCTTCTACGCAGATCAAATTCTCTTAGATGGTGTGGTTCCAGTTCTGGTAGCTGGTTTGATCGAAGAAATAGCAGTGAGTTAGGGGTAAGCACGGGTAACTGTATGTCGTCTTCGACGTAACATAAAGGGCGATTATTCAAAGCAATCTCCACATCCAGTACCACTTCACACAGCTCTGTCCAGGTCAACATTCCGCATCCGATAGTCTTGTTTAAAGCTGTTTTTACCAGTGCGATGAGGCGCTCGAACTGTCCTCCCCACCAAGCGGCGCGGCTGAGGTTGAATTGCCACTTGATGTTCTCATGTGCTAAGTAATCTTGTGTCTTCTCGTCACGCATAACTTGTTTGAGCCACTTCTCGGCGCCAACAAAGGTTTTGCCATTGTCGGAATATATCTTCTTCGGACGCCCACGGCGCGCGATGAGCCGTTTTAGACTTCTTAGGAATTCACTGGTTGCCAGGTTTGGTAGTACTTCCAGGAATAATCCTCGGGTAAGACTGCACGCGTACAATGCAAGATAGGCCTTTCCTTCTGTTTTGGCTTGTAAGTCACTTGGTAAGGGCCTATCCCATGCGATCTTCGTGTCGCAGGCATCTCTGTAGAGCATTTTTCCAGAGAGGGTCACGGGTGAAGCCAGACCGAGTGGATCGTAGATTTTTGCGACTTTTCCAAGAATACCTCTTTTTGTCGGCTCAGCGGTTGAAATCGGGAAGCTGACTTGAATTTCGTCCTTTTCTTTGTCCCAGGGGACTCCTAGCAGTTTTGATTCGCCCTTTCTGGTTCCCAGTTGTTGTTTGGCGTAACTCTGACTTTCTTCATCTACAGTCGCAGTTTCAACTTCTAGTTCCCGATCGTTGGAATGCCACTTGTGCAGCTTGAAAGTCGCCTCACCAAAGATGGTCGTGGCTGTCATCTTGATTTCTAACGCTCGTTCTGTTGTCTCCCCACCACTGATTAAATCATCCACGTACATACTGCGCTCTATCTCCTCTACTAATTCCGGGTTCACCATTTTGTATCGCTGTAGATGTTCTTTGATAACTGCGGCCAAGAGGAATGGAGACGGTGCCAAGCCAAAAAGTACTCGAGTGAATCGCAAGGTATCTACTTGTTTGCTTGCCAGATCCTTTATCCAATGAAAGCGTAAGGCATCTCGGTCTTCTCTTCGGACGCGAATTTGCAAAAATGCTTGTTTTAAGTCGCCAGCTATTGCCACGGGATAGAACCTATTTCGTACCAGCACGTTCCAAAGCTGGTTCTGTAGTGGAGGGCCGATTTCGAGGCACTCGTTGAGTGAGGGGACACTTACATTAGCTCTTGCAGAAGCATCATAAACAATGCGTATCTTTGTAGATTCTGCATTCTCGCGCACGACCGCTTTATGAGGAATGTAGAACTCTTTTCCGTCCTTGACCACCTCGTCAGCGTGTTCTACGATCCCTTGGCTCAGTTGAGTCTGGATAATGTCGTTGTACCTCTCCAGCTCGCCTTGTATCTCTAACTTCCGCACGAGATTTTTGAGACGTTTTAAACTTCCAGTGTGATTGTTCGGTAGGGGGGATGATTTCCTTTCCAGGGCAAGTTCGTCTCGTACCAGCCTTCTGAACTCCTAGTTAGTTGCTCTTTGAATTCTTCGTAAACGGTTTCCTGGTCTCCACTTGGATTGTCCTTCAACCCCAAGACGTCTAACTTGCACAATTCTTCGTAATCAATTGCGGAGGTCTGCGTTAACAACATGTTGCTGAGATCCAACTCTGTTCCAGGTGACAAGATCGTCCAGCCGAACTTCGTGTATTCTGCTACTGGTTCTCCCGAGCGCCCAACTCTTGGTCTTGCCCCTGTTTTGATCTTAGCGTACTCGTTTGTTCCAAGGATCAGATGAACAGGCAACATCGCTTTCTCGTCGTTATCATTTGTGGTTACGCCCTTCAAATGAGAAAACTGAGCCACGATTTCTGCGCATTTTGGGTTTTCCAATGTCAACAACTCTTTGCGGTCGACTTTGTTTACTTCGGCTTCCAAGGTGAATTTACCATCAACGCTTCGAATTTGTAGGCCATAGATGTCTATCGCTTTGTTTGAAGTACCAAACATCATTTCAATGCGCTTGAATTGTTGACGGATAGGGCGCAAATGTAAACAGTTCAGAAGCGTTGATGAAGCGTAGGAACTTCCGGCTCCTGTATCCAACAATGCTCGGCATTTAACACCGTTCACGTCCACTGTTACCATAGGATACACCACTCCTTTCCTTTCTGCGCTCGTTGTGGTCATCAGCTGGTCTCGCGATGTATGTTTGTCACAGATCGACGTATGATGTCTTCGACTGCAGATCTGGCAGCCAGAACGGCATTTGCACTCAGAAGCACGGTGTCGACTTCCTGTGCAGTTAAAACAAAGCTGTTTCAGTCCTAATTGTTTCCTGCGGTCTCCAACTGTCACAAACTTGTCGCAATTCACAGCTCTGTGGTCAGTTGCGTCACAGTAGACGCACCCTCTTTGTGTTGGCGTAGTTTCGTTTGCGTGAAATGTTTTCTCGCGATCGCGGAATTTAGCACCTTGCTTCCCCGCATTATCCGCGCCGCTCCCAATGGGGTTGATTTCCTTCCAACTTTTCAAAGCTTTTATCAACTGTGGGAAGTCCCAGTCCTGCCAGTCCACTTGTCCTCTCACTAGATCTGCTTTTACACCCTTTAGTTTGTCGAGCACACTCCTTACATTTCCAGTGACGTCTTTCAATTTGCCCAGTGTCTCCAAAGATTGCACATTGTACACGAGCTTCTTGTAAAATTCGTGGATAGGCGCAGGTTGTGTTCCTGTAATGACAGGCAAATTCGCGATGTTCTGGACGTACGCATTCACGATCTCGCTCGTTTTCCCATATTCGCCGATGAGGATATTCTTTGCCCTTTCGTAGCCCTCTGTTGTGAAAGGCAGTCCGTCTATCTCCGCTCGAACCTTTGGATCTACCAGCTCTTTTAGGTATGCAAACTTGGTCACAGACGCAAGGTTTGCTTTATCAATTTCAGCTTGAAATTTGTTCCAGAACGGCAGCCATGCTTCATACGTCCCATTAAACTTTGTGATCTGTAGTTTCGGTAGCTTTGTTGTCCTTTGTTCAGTCTGATTGGCCTTCTCAACAGGTTGCTGTTTTGCCTTGGTCTCTTCCAGTTGGCGTTCGAATTCTAGCTTCATCTTCATTTGCTCTCTTTCGAATTTAAGCTCCTCTTCACGAGCACGGGCTTTCCTTTCTTCTTCGTCCTTGTGCTTTCGATGTTCGATCTCTCCATTCGTCTCCACGAGCCATTTTTCTAGTCGCGAAACTTCTTCGTCAGCTTCGGCGATCGGTTCTTCAATGCTACTGCTCCAACTTCCAACGTCTTCTGCACTTTTCCCGGCCTTGAACATGGTCTGTTCAACCTTTAGTTTAAGCGCGTCTACTTCTTTTACTAATGCTTGTAGGTTGTCGCGATGTCGCGCGACCGCTCCTAGGTTTCCCTTTTCCACAATGCCACGTGTTTTTCCATTAGTGTACAGCAACATCTGCAATTTAGCCTCTGCTTCTTTGGTTAGTTCCTCCATGCTTCGCGCGTCCCGTCGGAGGTGCCACTGTGTCGGAAATGAGACTAAAGAATCTGCTATGTTCCGAAACTTCACGTTTTATTTTATAAAATCAACTTAATCTCCCGCTCTCTCTCACCGTTCTCTGTCTTTCGCTCTGGTCTCTCTCATTTTAAATATATAATATGATCCTATTGTTCAATCATCTGTCACTTATCGCAAAAAATCAACCGGAAATCAATTAACGCTGAATAATCTCTCACAACCTGGCCATTTCAGTTTGAGAGAAGAACACACTTTCAAACATATGGGTCATGCTAATGTGAAAAAAGGTAGGTTTGGAGTTTCCTTTTAAGGAGGCATCAAACAACGTTATCTTTTCTTTATTTCAATTTAATAATGACTCTTTCAAAGGTGAATTGTGCTCAGATTAAAAATAGATTCGTGAAATGATTAGTTTAACACTGTAGTGCACTGTGAATGAGTCTTTAGTGGAAAAGTAGATGTATTTACATGTCCTCGTGAGAGATTCTCGATACCTATCACAACGAGCGTTATAGTTATTAGTTAAACATGTACAGGTAAACTTCATGGTATTCAGCGTCTCATGGTCAGTGTTAACACACACTGTACACACTATGATACTGACCTTTATGCCCATCTCATGGTCATGATTATGGATAGTCTTGTTTCATTTTTCGGAAATTAGGCAGACTCTTAGAAATAGAGCCAGCGATGCAGAAAAAAATAAGCATCTCTGTCTTTTAAATGACGGATAACAAATGACAACCTTTTCCGCTTAATTTGAGAGTAACGCGCTGCTTATTTTCAGGCCTCAGCGCCGAAGGAAGCCTATAATTGCTCTTTGCATAAGGTAAATATCTCTTTTCCTCAAGGAGATGTCAGACACGGATCCGAAACCGTGTGTGCGTCATCAAAATCTATAACTGATAGCTTTGTCAACTTTTAAAGTGATTTGAGTATTGTAGTTTTCGTCAGTCACCAGATGTGAAGATCACAAGCGAGGGAATGTTCAAGAGTCTCAAGACAGAAACCAACAGTGTGCAGTTTATTTCGTTAAGGAAAACCCTGAAAACCTCTTTCCATTGGCTTACTCAAGAATAAGGAAATGTAGAGGCACGTTTCCTTTTCAGTGTCACAAACTTGAAACTAACTGCGCTGCTATCAAACATCAGTTCACATTTGCCGAATGAGCGGCGTCTCCAGCAGAGTTTAGTGGCACGCGCCCTTGCTATTAAAAATTTTTACAACTTTTAGATGAAAACAATGCTGAAAGCTGACGCATGACATCCTCTTTCGTTTTGAGAGAACAGCGTTGTTTATCTTCCAACTGGAGTGTTAAGGGAAGCTAATTGAGCATAAGATGTATGAGAGGTTACGTTTGTTCAGATATGTGCTTAATCGAGAATTTGTCGCTCGTACCCGCTTTGTCAAAAGTTTGTATGATGCAGTCGATATTATTTTTCGTACTCACCATATGTGACCATCACAAACGAGAATATAAAGGACGCTGAAACCAACCCCACACGTCTCATGATGAAGCCCATAAAATCTAACCTTCTTACTGAAATAGGTTGCTCAAATTGAGATAAAGATGTGGAAAGACAGCCTTTTAAATGCAATGTACTTTAACTTCCTTTACACTGTAATTTAACATAAGAATATTAATGACAAAGGGGCAGCATCTCCAGCAGCGTTCAGTGTCACGCATCCTTACCATTTAGCTTGTATCAATTTGACTGATTTACATCGAAAAGCAAATTAGTTTCCCACAGAGTGTAATTGAATACGCCGCATTGTTTACCTTTATCAAGAGAAGGAAAACAAACAAGCGCCTCAGTGAAATAGCCTCTTCCTGCATTACCACCTGTAATTAACATCACTTTCAATTTGCCGAAGGAGCAGTGTCTCCGACAGAGTTCAGAGGCACGTGCCTTTGCATATTAAGGTAATAATTTAAGGGAAAAAAAAGAATGCTGAAAGATGACGCATGACATCCTTCGTTTGGGGAGTACTGCGTTGTTTATCTTCCAGCTTCAGAGCTAAGGGAAGTTTATTGAGCATAAAATGTGTGAGAGGTTACTTTTCTTCAGATATGTGCTTTTAAAATCGAGAACTTACTACCTGCACCTTTATATGGTATGACATGGTTGGTATTATTTTTCGTGCTCACCGTATGTGACGATCAGAGACGAGAATATAAGGGACGCCGAAACCAATCCTCACAGATAAAGATGATATTTGCAGTGCCATTTAACACTGAGTCACACAATGCGTGACGCTTTCATAAATTAATCACTGGCTTTTTCTGGAGACGTGAGCTTGGGCTGCCTGTGATTGCATACGCCGTCTTGTTCACCTCAAGTTATCGAAAAAGGAAGCAAAACAAACAAGCGCTTCAGTCAGGCAACTGTTCCTTGCATTTCCGCACGCAAATAACTTGCAACGACTTTTCTTTCCTAACCAGGAACTAACAAGAAACCAACTGGTTAATAAAGCTTCCTGTAATTCGCTTCTGATTTCTTTGTTAAACCTGTCAATTAAAAAATGATGCGCTGTAATGAAATTTTAAAATATTTAATGAGCTCAATGAAATGTTGCCCTTAGTGCGACATACTCGAAGCATATCTGTTGTTGTGGTCACGTGGACCATCGGGGAAGGTGCTTATGTAAAATAGCCGCTTTCGTTCTCCTTAGCACTCATTGAGATCATTTTAAGTACACTGTGCTGATGACACGAAATTGTTTTGCATTTTTATTTAGATTTTTTAACTACAAACCGATTCTGATATAAGAAAATTAAAAAATAAAACTCGGTTTTCTATCAGGCCCAAAAGTGCTTTAATTTTGTCTTAAGTGGTTCCTTAAACTGGCAACGAGGTAAACCGGAGATAACGTCGAAAACTGTGAAAACTCTCAGTTGACACTAAAAAATCTCTTACATCTCTGCAACTGTAATTTTGTAATACTTACCATTGATATACCATAAAAATAATTTCCTATAGCGATATACACCATCCTTTAGCTAGCTTTTCCGAGAATAGTGATGCATTGTACTCAAGTAGTAAAGAAGAAATGGGTGTTGTGAGTACGGTTCAGCCCTAAGAAGGAGAACCGTCCTCATTAAGAGAAGACTTCGACGAAGATTGACTGATACGGTTTCTCTCCTGCGGTGTTCAGGCCGAGATTAGAAAAACGAACTACTTTTTGACCGCCAAGCCGTTCATTCAATACGCAAAAACTGGTCACGGAGAACTCGCTAAGCGTTACGGTCTATTACTATAAATTTTTAAATACAAATGTCAACCAGAAAACGTAATAAAAAATTTCGTGTTATTGGTGGTTGTTAACGACTGCGCCTGAAAAAAGATCCAGGTTTCTTTCATTTGCTTGCTTACTATTGATGTCTTCAATTCTAACATATTATATTGGCAAAGTATATACGAGGTCGTGATCTTAGCCATTATACGCCAGCATGCAGTTATTCTACTCCCCTGAGCAGCCCTGTGACCACAGTTTTTGTCTTGTTCCTAAAATAAACAGTTCTTGTACAACCGAAGTTTCCCGTGAAAGTCACCTGTCAACTCTTTTTCTCATTACACATGTAATGAAAGCTAAAAGCATACAGGCATAAAGGCGAGCGGCTATCCATCAGGCTCCGGCTTTGCAAGATCCACAATAAGTTGAAACAAGCGATGTTTTAAATTATTTTGAACCACTTCTGATCACAATATTTCGTTCACCTTATTGAATTAGAAAGTTCCCTTAAACAAGAAACCTCTATTATTTCCGAACAAATTATTATTTGCGCATGCCGTTATAGTTGCGTTCTTCAGGTGAGCGGTTTCATGCTACACACTAATTTCTTTTGGCGCCATTTTGAAAAATAGTGTATGACATTTCAGTTAATTGCTGGACATTCGTTCGTTTCATTTCCTCAAGAACACAACAACAGAAGCATAAATAGTCTCCTCTTAGTTTTGAGCGTTGGATAGACCAGAAGTGCGGGTTTTTGTACTTGTTATGGGAATATTCTGCAGATAACATAAATGTTAACTGTACATACCTATCGTTTAACAAACCTGGCTTTTCGTTACCTGGCCTCTCATCAGCCCGAGAGGAGAGCACGTTTAATAGAGACAAGAGAAAAGGTAAGTTTGAAGTTTCCTTTTAATGAGGCATTTAACAACGTTATCCTGTCTTTGTGTTAATTTGATAATGACTCAAAGGTGAATTGTATTGCTCAGATTGAAAATAGACTCGAGAAACCATTAGTTTAACAGTATAGTACACTGAGAATGAGTATTTAGTGGAAATGTTGGTATGTTTACATATCTTCGTGAGAGATTCTCGCAGAGATTCCAACCCTCCCGATTTGATGTCTTGCCTCCCGCTCTCCCGATTTTTACCAAATTCTCCCGATTTATCATAAAATTCTGAAAACTAGGGGAAAATTGCTAATCTTTAGAATTTTTGGCGATCTGTCACTGTGAAACACTCATATTATACTTACTTTCTTCGTGAAGAGCATTATGGTATGTTATAACTCAGGCCGGAATGATGTCAAAATTCAGGAAATGGCACTTGAGAGAACCTAAATTTGCAAAATTTCCCGGGGGCATGCCCCCTGACCCCCCTAGAAGCTCGCGCCTTTGGCACTAATAATTACTCCCTATTTTCCATCACATGGGGTTGGAATCTCTGTTCTCGATACCTATCACACTGAACACCTGTACAGCGGCACAGGTGAAACCTCACATATTCAGTATCGCATGATCAGTGTTGACATACAGTCAAACCTTTGTTTTGTACCAGAGTCACTTTGTAAACGTCACTTTTAAGACTCCATGGGCGCGTGGCTTTATACAGTGTAGTTAAGAAGCGGTGCCCAACAGGGCTTTGTCAGGGAAAATAATACGGCTTAATGTGCTGGCTTAATGCTAAGAAACTATCACTTAAAATTGCAAAAACTAATAAACATTCTTTTTCTCCTAAAGCAAAAACGCACTGTTGTTAATGATAACATCACTCTTGACAATATAGGTATCAAGCAGGTTGAGATAACAAAGTTTCTTGGAGTTCTTGTTGATCAGCACCTCTCGTGAAAGCAACATATATCCCACATTACTAAAAAGATATAAAAAACTTTTGAAATAATAAGTAAATCTCGTTTCTTTCTTTCTTCAAAATCTTTACTAACTCTCTACCATACTCTAGAATATCCTTATCTCAGCTATTGTAATATCTTATGGTCCTCAACTTATCCTTCTTATTTAAACAGGATTTTCCTCCCGCATAAATGTATAGTCAGAATTATACATGGAGCCGAACACTTAGCTCATATTGTGCCCTTGTTCTACAATCTTAATATCCTTGTTATTTATAACATTAATGCTTTCCTTGTAGCTTGTTTTATGTATTCCTATCATAATAGCCTTCTTCCTAATGCTTTTTATTCTCTTTTTTCTACTCATCATCAAATTTATGTATGATACATGGAGTAATAGAAACTAGCGCACACTATTGCAGATCTAATATCAAGCAGTTTAAAATCATGCACCAAGGTCCAAAGGTTTGGAATTCCCTGCCCCATGATCTTATCCTATCCTGCAGATTCTCTGTCTTTAAGACTTCACTTAAAAAAATTCCTCATTGACTGAAAACTAAATTAAACTCACCCATCCATAATTAGCAAATCCATCTTCTACATCATGTGAGGAACCTAGGTTTGATAAGCTTCTAGCTTCTGCTGGGCTTCCTCACCACACTACTTATAAATGACCTTAAATTGTAATTTCATCTGGATTAAGAGTAGATTTTTGTGTAAAGATATTATTATAGTTATTATAATTTTAGATTGATGTAAACAACTGTAATTTAAACAACTGTAATGTGTGTGTAAGTGGCAAATATATATATAAATAAGATAAAATAAAGTATGAATCCCCTTGAACCATGAATATTTCTCAAGCTTTTTCCGCAGTTTCTGCACCTTCCCTTCCCCTGTGAGCAACATATCTGTACTTATGATTTTAAGTGTCTAGTATAATAAAAATAGGCTCACACATTCATCCAAATTTAATATAATGCAGTATTGTGACACTGTTTTGTAGAAGAAACAAACAAACATTAATGACTTGTTACATCTAAAAAGTATTACCACAGAAGTACAATTTAAATGTCGTCTTTTAATAGCTTATACGAGAAATGATCTGTAACTAGAGTCTTCTCTAAAGCTTTTGCTAGTCATTGTTTTAAATAGAGGAATGATATTTTAAAGGTCTATTGTATGAGTAATGTGGCAAGTACCCTTTTAATTTGCCAGTGATTAGGTAGATTTAAAAACAGCTTTTTGAAGCAGCTATTGCTGCAGGATTTTCTTTTATATACTTTATTTACCTTCAGTGTAAATAAAGCATCATTGGTTTTTTTACTGTAAACAACAAAGATATTGCATCATATGCATCTCATCACCTGATTGTCCATGTCAAAGAGATTTAGTGTACATTGCATACTCTATTTGTTCTCTGGGGCTCAGATGTAGTGTCTGTTATTTATACACTACTAGAGGGGGTTCTCATTTGTTCTACTGTCCGTGCACACATATGCTAAATGGATCTATTTGTGTGTTTGTGAAAGTAGATCAGAATAAAGTTGATAATGTCATTGCTGACAAGGACCTACATTGTAGAATTACTGAAGAATATATCCATTAAGTTAGCAATTAAAAAACAATTTATGGGAAATAGTCAGAAGACACAAAACAATCAAAGTACTTGAGGGACTCCCATTTTACATTTGTAAGTAAAAATTAGCATCTGCAATGTCCCTTGCTGGTTTAGGGGTTGATATTGGTATGCTGGGATAGCTCTAAGTCCTTATTTGAATGTTCAGTGGTGGAACCTCAGAAAACCAATCTAATATGACACATTTGAATGTTTATTTTGAGTAAACTGTTGCTGAATTAGTTCCAGATAATTCATGTATTTTTTTTCATATTAAAATTTTTAAGGCAGTGTATGATGTAGCAGCTGTTTGTACATCCTTGTCCCAGGAAAGTTTTTTCATCAATTGTTATCCAAAGGCAAATAAGAAAAGATGTGTATTGAGTAATTTTGTCTCCCAACATAAAGGGCTTCAAGGTGTCATCATAAGGGTGTGTTCTCAAAATCAGTGCTTTGAATTTCCCCTCATGTGCAATCAACCCACTTCTCAGAGACTAGGACCTTACTTGGTCTATAGCAAACACATCAATTGTACCATTAATACGGTAGATGATAATTATTGTCATCTGCATTATTAATTAAACTGGCCTTTCCGTGCGAATGGTGTGAACTCATAGGTACTATTTGATCGTGTTGTCTTATCGTCCGGATGAGAGTTGTCCTCTGTAGGAGTGTTGTTTGAAGTTAACTTTAGTGACACTCGTTTTTGCAATCTCAGCTGGAGTCATCGTGTGAGTCGAACATGGCCTCTTTCTGTAAATTTACCGCGCGTGCGCAACAAAAACTGGATCTTGCTTTTCAAAAGCCACGACGAATGGATCTTTTATTATGATATAACTATTCATCCTTTTGTTGACAGATCTTGCGAATAAGTTTCAAGTTTGGCCTGGTTTCATCTATATGTCGCTTGTTAAACAATCGTGTGAGATGGTTTGTTGAGTAAGTAATTTTAAATGTTTTCCTTACGGGAGAACTGCAGTACACATGTATGCCTCAGGACGCAGAGGGGTACCTCCTTTATTAGGCCCCATGAAGAAGGTTGCCCACTGGGTCCTTTGGGCCAACTTCTGGAGGAAAAAACCAGCCTTGATGTGTAAAAACTTAGACAATGGACTCTAATCTAATGTCAAAAAAATCGTGGCCACTCAATTTCTTTAAAGTTTATTCATGTCGTTCAAGTGGTTTTGTTGCTTTTAGGTTGATTATCTTTCGAGCTCGCTGTATCCTTTAACTTGCTCCATATTTGACTAGACTAGTCTGAATTTACATGAGCTTAGGAACCTTAGGAGAAGTATGTTTATTACCCTTGTGACACGATCTGGGGCTGGGGCTGAGCAAAAAAACAAAACAACACGCTAAACTTGGTTTCTATCCTATCTAAGATGTTGGTTTCACCTGATTGCACTCCTAGTACTAATTTGCTTCGCTCTTAATTTTACAGGGAGCGCTATTCATGAAAAAAAGGGTCAAGCAACTTGTCTCAATACACACAAACAACAACCTACATGGCTGCAGATAACTTTTTTTTTCAAGCAGGAAACAGTATCTGAGTTATTCTCAAATTTAAGCAGTCCATTATTTGTTATGTTTTAATCAACGTCAGAACAAAAGCCAGGGTAAGAACGTAAACGAACACGTCCAAGCGGAACCCATTTTTTTTCACCGTCATCAAAATGCACGTACACCCAAGAGCCTCCTGAAGTACCAATAACTTTTCCAGAGTGATACCACCCTGGAAGGACAAACTGATTGGCTATAACGGGCAAGTTAGGTAATAAGTTCCCTATAGATGGTACTTTATCAATGATGAGCTTTCGATCAGTCCTTCGGTAACTACGCGTCAGTTTCTTATCGTTTACCAATGCGAAGTCGAAATGTGTTGCATTTATCCTTGTGATGGAAGCTTTCCAGTAATCGTCTGCTTTCATACTCTTTCTCCAAAATCCCCAAAACACTGCTCCAACCCGGACACATTCTAAAGAGACAAGAGTAGACTATCATAAATTCAAACTGCATTAATGAATAATGGAATAAAAATTTGAACATACATCTAAATACAACATGCAACACGTCAGATTGCGCGCTCGACCTTTTTTTCAGGAATGAATGTTGTGCCGCGTAGCACTGGGAACACAAATGGTGAAACAGAGAATTAACTCTGAAGTGTAAATTAAAGTGCTACTTAAACCCATGAATAACCCACAGGGCGTTAGCCCTAATAAAGGGAAACAGGGAACCACACGAACTAACGCCCTGTGGGTTATTCATGGGTTTAAGTAGCACTTTAATTTACACTTCAGAGTTAATTCTCTGTTTCACCATTTCTTTTTTCAGGAACCCTGCAGACCCTAAGAGCGTTCCTGTTCAGATAATTAAATAAACCGCTTCTTCATTTGCTGTAATATCTATTTCTGTCACTTTAACTGTAACAGAATAACAAGATGTACTCATATTGAAATATTGATATTATCGTTGTTATTTATATTTCACATAAACTTGCCTTCACACTCTGGAAATTGACCTTCCCATACACCCCCTTTGCACATTAACTCGGCTGAGCCTCTTAACTCGTAGCCTTTATTACATTCTAACTTGATCACAGAACCGTGGCTGTAATTGCTTCCAACAACGTTTCCGTTAATGAGTTTTCCCGGCTCAGCACATACACCTAAAAGAAAACAAGAGAGGGTGTCAATAAATTCAGGAACAAATAAGGAGATAACTAAGTAAGAATGGCTTGTAAATGAACAAAACACGATAAATGAACATTACTGAAACGAAAATAAGCACGAGGCTGATGGTCTAAGTTTCATATTATTCTTTTCCTCAAAACTTCCATACTCAATTCACAATACGGAAAAAGTATTGCCCAATGCCAATAACTGATGGAAATTGAAGTAAAGAAACACTGTCATATATTTGTATGACTAAGCCTACAATGCAGGTGTCTAATTTGGGCGAGCAAACGTTATAAACTCGCGATTGTTTATCCGACCGGCCATGTCTGATTGGAGTTAGAGTGGACGACGAGGGTAGGATTGCCAAGATCTTTGCAGGAAGCTGTATGACGCAAGGAAGACTAGAAAAGCAATTGGCACCATATGAAATGATCTTTGTTGAGCACGTTTACGACTAGTATTTTGAATTCTTATCACCATAAAAAAAGGAGGGGATTCCATCCAATATTTTCTTCGAGATCAGTGGGAGTTTTTTGGTTTGTGTACTTTAACGATCATCTTAAGAAGAAAGGTCTTTTTCCTGAATTGTTTTTCCAGAGTACAATTTTCATGGTTCGTGCTTTTCCTGAGAAAGGCTTTTCCAGTTGAGTGTGTACAAAAGGGCAGGAAATAATAACAATTCGTTCAACAGAGGGATCGAACGGAGTTACTTAACTCTAAACCGACAGCCAAGGATCGAAACTTACCTATAACCACCAACTTATACAATTTGATCCTTTAAGTCAACACGCCTCGGGAAAATTGGCCAATCGGGAACCAGACAGGAGACAACGCGTCACGTGACTTTGATGGTAACATCCGTTAAGGTTTTCGAAACGTCAGTCACAATAACCAACAATAGTCCCCTCGGTACCACTCTCACTCGCTTAACCCTAACCCTAACCCTAACCCTAACCCTAACCCTAACCCTAACCTACTTTTTTCCATCTATAGGGTAAAGAAAGAGAGTTGTATTTTTCTTTCTTTGGTATTTCTTTTCCTAAGCTAGAGTGCACTTAAAACCATGTATGTGCTTCAGTGCCTAGTAAAAATGCGTAACTCATATACCGCTAAATAGTATGACCCAATGATCTAGCGTTTGATTTGAGATATCTTCCTGACTAAGTTTGGCGAGTCAGCACGGTGTGAGTATGCAGTGTAACTCTAATCAGACGAAACTTACGTGAGCAAATGATGCCTCCACTCCATATGTTGCCTTTCTTACATTGGTAAACACCAAGTCCTGACTTAAAATATCCTTCCTTGCATTTCAATAGCACTTTGTCACCGTACTTGAATTCCCTATCCATTGACCGTGGATAGATAACAGCAGCTTCATCTGGAATGTTCGGCTTGTCACATGAGGGAACTACACAGAATTAAAATTAAAAAAAAACATGGTTCTATCATTCAAAGAGATTCAAGCCTTTTTGTTTATAGTGTATGGAGCTATTGCTATAAAAATAGTAACCAAAAGCATTTGCAAAGTGGCACTCAAACAAAAAACATGGAAAGAAATTATAAAACTGAGAAATGGGAAATCAAAAAGGAGCTGGTGAACGAACAAATAAGAGAACTAAATAACTGAGTTTCTATCCAAGCCGTGATCATACTACTCAAGAAGAGGGCAGATCGAGAAAATTTAGTAACCCTGTAACTCCTGGATCATATTTTCCTTTAAAATCGATTCCTTTTGATATGATGTTCATAACGGTTACATTTGTCCATCAACAAGAACAACTAGAGGCCGCCAGCAGAGAGGTTGAGCGCTTCGTTCGTTCGTTTTACAAAAAGCAGAAATTTACTTCTTTCCGTCTGCATGCTTTCAGATTGTTCAGCCGTCTTTTCGCTAAACCGAAATATTTGCATCAATCGTGATTGTGACTTTTTCATTCTAGTTCTGACTTGCGAATTATAAAAAAAAAAATTAAGGACATCAAAGTTTATTTGATGTTTCAACTCATCAAAGACTTCGATTTATTTTATTCAGCGGTTCATTTGACGACCAAGCATAGTTAAATAGTAGAAATTAGTATATTCTTTATCCCACATCAAGTACTCACGGATGCATTTTGGCTTTGGAGCATTCCATTTTCCGTTTTCCTGGCACCGTATTCGAGGAGTTCCTACCATTTTATATATATCTTCATCATAGCATCAGAAATGAATATATTTCACACCCTTATAACGTACAGTTCGTCTGTTTCCATAACAGATTTCCCCTGGATCCTGACAAAAGGGTTCTGTCAGTAGCGAAGAAATGGTCTAATGTTTATGGTGATGATTTGTGAACTGAATTGTTTACTGTACCAAATGACTTTCACTGAATGAACGCGCATTTTGCGAAAAGATAAACCAATCGACTTTTATCTTAGGAAACGATAAAGACTGAACTAAACAACGAACAGACCAAAGATAAGCGAATGCATAAAATGTGAATAAATAGAAGCACGGACGGATAAATTGTTAAGTTATGACAAGGCCTTGGGAAAAAATTTTTAAGGAAAAAAAATGTCTATCCTGAAAAAAGAATTTTAAACTATTTAAATATGGATGGCTGGATAATCGGAAGGACGCTCGGATTGATAAACTGTAGGAACACACATTGAATTTTATGCATCATACTTACTGCATCTCGTTCTCTTTCCATCCCATTTCCCTGTAGCTCTACAAGTTCGTGTTTCTGAGCCGCGGAGTTTATACAGTTTCTGACACTTATATGTCACCACGCTGCGAAAGTAGCTGGCGTTGCTGAAGCAGGAACGCCCGTTTTCTACCTTAGGTAAGTTTTCACATCTGAGGTCTACAAAAAAAGATGTGAAATTAGAAATTTGGGCATTCTTCTTACTTTTCATTTGTTGATACGACACATGGAACGAAATAACTATATGATTAGGAGCCTATATCTTTTTTTAGACGTGCATTTTTCCATTTGAAGATTTGATGGCGTAGTTCGTCATGAATCATAGCCGTTTCAAATTCCTCAAATGTTATTGGTGCATACGCAGCTTTACTTTTCGTTAATCATTTTGTACAGTTAAGCCCTGGGCTAACAAAGCCCTCATACGAGCGGGCAGGCCCGATTCAGTAAGGCTTGCAAGTAGGCCAATGTACTGAGCGGAGTAATCTCACTGCGAATGAAGCGTTGAGAGCATATTCATTGATTCTTCCTTTAACATATCCACAAAATAAACTGAAGAACTAAGTATAAGTAACTGTACTCAGAAGGCAAAAAATGGGGCATTTATCTGTTTATTAAGATATTATGCCTCGCCCAAAACGTAATAGGAATTTCTATGCCACTTTCGTCGCGTCACGACGGTAGCCTACTCATCACGAATAATCTTGATTATCAAATTGCCTGACGCACGGTGGGGAAGATAATGTCTTATCAAGAGTCCTTTTCAATAAATACGTTTGATTAGATCACATAGAACTACTCTCTTAGTATAATGGAAAGCTAAGGACATCTTGGTTCTTATTGAACGTGATCTTAGTCGTGTTGCCTGTTTGCGTTTTTTGGTGATGTTTATGAGAAATATCTCTGAATGCAGACATAGTTTGATGCTACTCTGGTTTGCAGATTTAATGAATGTAACCGAAGAAGTTACAATTCATAGACCCAACGTTTCGACACTCCTGTCTAGTGCCTTCATCAGGGGTGATCTAAACGCTGCAACAAGAGGTCCTTTTCTATGATCACTACTGATTAGCGGCCTTTTTTCTGACGAGGTGTAAATAGGCATCAGGAAGCAAGCCGCCATCGTCACGATTTAAAGGAGCGTGGGCGGAGCTAATATGCCAAGGCTCCAAACAAAGATGCTGGTGGTAACGCCGATTAGTGGTGATAATTTTAGAATTATCCCACCCAATTGTATGGTTAGTTAGACATGTATGCTCTGATAAAGCTGAATTTTCCTTTTTGCAAAGGAAAACCGCTTTTTGGTGCTCTTTTAACCGTGTACCAAACTGACGTTTGGTCTGTCTGATGTATTCGTTGTCACAGTCATTGTAAGAAATAGAATAAATGGCGTCAGTTCGTTATTCTTTCGTGACAGGATCCTTAGGTTTGGCGAAAATATGCCCCAAAGTCTGAAAAGGTTTTTGCGCAACTTAAATGAATGAATGCATTACAGTTTCGTAATTATTATGTTTATGTCGTATAACCGTAAAGATATGTTCTCTAGACAGAGTTCTGAAATGTCTGTATGCGTGTACTTCTTTCAAAAAGCGCCTACGTCAAATACATTACACGTAAAGTCAAGTTAAGAAAAAAGACACGTCCATTTATAGTTGGTTCAGAATTTTCCTTCTTTTTTCTAGAAATCTTCGTTCAAAGACCTATCGGCAAATGTAATCATATACACTTACTGTTTTTAACGCAAATCATTCCACAGTCTCCATCACATAAACATTTTCTATTTCCTCGGCAATCTCCGTCAGTCGAGCAAGTCTTGCCACAAAATCGCACGTTATTTGTTCTGGGGCAGCCGTTAGAGCCTATGAAAACGAGGAAGTGAAAATTTGCTATTTCACTGAGTGAGTTTATCTTAGGAAACGATAAAGACTGAACTAAACAACGAACAGACCAAAGATAAGCGAATGCATAAAATGTGAATAAATAGAAGCACGGACAGATAAATTTTTAAGTTATGACAAGGCTGTAGGAAAAACTTTTAAAGGAAAAAAATGTCTATCCTGAGAAAGAATTTTAAACTATTTAAATATGGATGGCTGGATAATCGGAAGGACGCTCGGATTGATAAACTGTAGGAACACACATTGAATTTTATGCATCATACTTACTGCATCTCGTTCTCTTTCCATCCCATTTCCCTGTAGCTCTACAAGTTCGTGTTTCTGAGCCGCGGAGTTTATACAGTTTCTGACACTTATATGTCACCACGCTGCGAAAGTAGCTGGCGTTGCTGAAGCAGGAACGCCCGTTTTCTACCTTAGGTAAGTTTTCACATCTGAGGTCTACAAAAAAAGATGTGAAATTAGAAATTTGGGCATTCTTCTTACTTTTCATTTGTTGATACGACACATGGAACGAAATAACTATATGATTAGGAGCCTATATCTTTTTTTAGACGTGCATTTTTCCATTTGAAGATTTGATGGCGTAGTTCGTCATGAATCATAGCCGTTTCAAATTCCTCAAATGTTATTGGTGCATACGCAGCTTTACTTTTCGTTAATCATTTTGTACAGTTAAGCCCTGGGCTAACAAAGCCCTCATACGAGCGGGCAGGCCCGATTCAGTAAGGCTTGCAAGTAGGCCAATGTACTGAGCGGAGTAATCTCACTGCGAATGAAGCGTTGAGAGCATATTCATTGATTCTTCCTTTAACATATCCACAAAATAAACTGAAGAACTAAGTATAAGTAACTGTACTCAGAAGGCAAAAAATGGGGCATTTATCTGTTTATTAAGATATTATGCCTCGCCCAAAACGTAATAGGAATTTCTATGCCACTTTCGTCGCGTCACTACGGTAGCCTACTCATCACGAATAGGCTATCGGCAAATGTAATCATATACACTTACTGTTTTTAACGCAAATCATTCCACAGTCTCCATCACATAAACATTTTCTATTTCCTCGGCAATCTCCGTCAGTCGAGCAAGTCTTGCCACAAAATCGCACGTTATTTGTTCTGGGGCAGCCGTTAGAGCCTATGAAAACGAGGAAGTGAAAATTTGCTATTTCACTGAGTGAACGCGCATTTTGCGAAAAGATTAACCAATCGACTTTTATCTTAGGAACGATAAAGACTGAACTAAACAACGAACAGACCAAAGATAAGCGAATGCATAAAATGTGAATAAATAGAAGCACGGACGTCCCGCCATTGCCCATTGCCATTTTCTGGGAATCCTGGGTCATCGCATGGAGCTATAAGAATGTGAAAAGTATGTTGATTATGTGATGTAAGTTTCGTAAAGTTTCTTTTCAGTCATTCTCTGAATATTGTACCTTCCTTTGAGTGATTATTGAGTGAGTTTTTAGGTGTGTTATAAAAAAATAAGAAAAAGAGTTATCCCAGTGTTTCACGGCCATTTGAATAATAATAATAATTCAGTAGCAAAGAGGTGTTAAAGTTAATTTCTGAATGCCATCTATTTATGATTGGAATGCGGTTCGAACTGAGCATCATGGCACTAAGGAAACTAAGATCTTTGAACAACATGCGGGATCTTGCGATTATCATGATTTGGCTGAAAAATTCGCCCAGGCAAATTGGCATCTTAGCACTCCATTGGCCGTTTAAACATGTAACCGTTCGCGCTCCCTCCAAGTAATTTTAAAAGACACTGATTTTTGTGATGGAAGTAGACGCCAATCTTTCTCCCATTCAAAGGATTTCCAGGATCTTTGCATGAAGCTGTAAGAACTAAAAGAGAAAGTACTTGTCAAGGAACCGAATCTTTTATGATACAAGGAAGACTACATATACAATTGGCAAGATATGAGGTGAAGGCCAGTTGGGGGCCGTGAAAATTTGCTTTCTCTTTTTTTTTACTTCTAGACTGGTGGGAATTACTTGTATGAGACATACCTTTACACGAAGGAATACTGCTGCTCCATTCTCCATTTATGCAGCTCAATCTTGAGGATCCGAATAACGTATAATTAGCATGGCACTTTATTTCAACTTCACCACCACCCTTCCGTGTTACATGTGTGATGACTCCATTCTTTATTGGTCCAAGGATGGGACAGGAAGCTATCAAAGCGACGGTGTAACAAATGTTTACTTATTTTTCATTCAATATATATTTATGATATAAACGCCATGTTTTCAAGGAATGTTTATACTTACTTACCATGACGAGCCTGATGTGAGCCAAATATTTTCCCATTCGGACCGACTTAACTTAGCCAATAAGTGTTTTATTGTATGACCGCCAAGCCCTTAGATTGTTTCCTAAATAAGACTCAATCACATAGATAAAAAGGAGTGTGCACTACACTAGTGCTAAAGCCTTTTTTGGTGAGGTAAGTGAAAAGTAGCCGATATCCGGCCGCGGAGGCCTCCAAATTTTGATAAAACTAATGATTAGATTTTTAACCATAAAGCTGTTATGTTACGCAAGACAAGTTTGGACAAAATTTCAGCAAGGTAATATACTTTAATTTGGTGCGCCGCTACTCCAGTTGGCGCACGCGAAAGTAGGACCTAACAATGTTTCATGGTCCATCTGACCCTTTCGCTATAGTTGGCGACAAAAAGCTTAAACAGCGCTGTTATTCACATTTCTTTGACCCGCACCAAGGTTGCAATAACTTGAGAATACCCCGTCCATCGCAGCTATCAAAGCCAGCGCAAGAAGCTCAAGGGGCGACCAAAACGCAAAAATCAGGTGGTGAAAAGATCCATTCTTGCGTAATAATTTACGTGAGGTGTTTTTTGTTGTTGTTGTTTTTTTCCAAAAGAGAGATGGGTTTATGATTGATATATGTGGTAATAAGTGGTGGTGGTCAAACGATGTGACTTTGATGCGACCGTCGCCAAAATTTGAAAAATGCGAAGTTTTGTCAATTTTTGATTTGCAAAAAATTGGAAAATATCTTAATTCGCTCCGCTAAAGCGTCTTGGCCCCTACTTAAATAATAAAAAAAGCGCAATGGAAGACCACAATAGAATCTTTGAAAAAAAAATTCTCGTTTCTTTTCGGATAAGAAAAATGAAGTCACAATTCACGGGGAACATTTATTGAAAGTTTACGTCCATTTTTATAAACCACTTTCTCGGATAATGCAACAGAACCGCGGAAGTGCGGGGCCAGAAAGCTTTTTTCCGGACTAGTTCACGTAAACCACACGTCAGATTTTGTCATGGTTTCCCACAGGATTGCGTGAGCGAGGTGAAACGGGTCACATAATAATAAACTATTTTGAATTGGACTAAACTTACCGATGCACTTGAATTCTCTTTTCAGCCACGTCGTATAGTTACACACCATAATCGGCGATCCCGTTAAAAGATGACCTTGTTGACAAGCCAGATAAAGAGTTGTACCGTGTGTGTATCTCACTTGATCTGTTCGTGGATATATGATACGCGAATTACGTGGAATGGAGGGTTTTACACATTGCATAACTAAAAAAAACAAAGAGCGATTTTCATAAACAACCGTTAATTTAAAAGTTAGAACCTGAGTAATCTAGCCTGGTATTTTATTTGCTTCACTGATATAAAAGATATATTAGAGCCTATTTTGGGGTTATTTTTGTTTGATATTACAATCATTTAGAATGGTGTGATAAAATACGCATAGACAGAACCAATGTAATTGTGGCAACTAAAACTCATGCTTTGATCCTAATTATTTGTTTTAAAAGAAAATGGTTAAGATTCTTCCTGTAGCCATTTTCTCATGGTAAAAATTTATGGATGAAAGATTGACTTTAAGTTATGCAACTCTATATGTGTTCCGCACTTCTTAAATAAGCGCACAGGCGATTATTTAAAATCTTGCCTACGGGGAGGGGCGCTTATTGGAAAGAGGGCGCTTAATCGAGCGGAGCGTGTTAGTTAGCGTGACAATTGGGCAAAAGTTAAAAGACCAGATAACGTGAATAAAGGAACTCTGCGAACACATGGAGAAAGAAAGAACTCAAAGTGACCTAACTGAATGGAAAGTATTCTCCTGTACTGATTCCGACGTATTTCTCAGTCTTCGCAATACACATAGTGACAACAAATATAAAAGAGGAAATAGAACCAAAAAAAAAGAAGGTGGAGTTCCTGCAATTTTTTGAAAAACCCACACATATTAAAAGAATATGCTACGCACAATCTATTAGCTAAGATATATTCGTAAAACTCTTTCTCAGGATGTAGAGGAATTACTAACCTTTACATTGCGGGACGGAAGAATTCCATTTTCCATTAATACAACGAAGGCTGTGATCTCCTTCCAACTCATAACCATGTTTGCATTTGAAAGAAACCTCTTGGCCATGGGAGAAGCGTGTGCCAAACACGTGTCCATTTGGCAGATCCCTAATCTTCGTGCAGTAAGCTGAGAAATGAACATAGAACAATGATTTGCGACATGAACATCAAACCTGTTCGGCCGTCAGATGCAAACGGCGCGACAGAGGTTAAAAAGAACAGGAACTGAGTTAAGTGCTGAAGATTTGAAAGAAGCCATTTATAAAAAGGTCAATTGGTCAGGGAAATTAACTCCGAGACAGCTTACCTTTACAAGTTGGAACACGTGAACTCCAAACACCCTTGTTGCATGTTAATGTTGGAGCCCCAAATAGATCAAAGCCTGTAAAACAAGTGAATTTTGCTTCTGCACTATGGCTGTTGTCACTACCATGTAGTGTACCGTTCGCTGGACTTTGCAGTCGAACGCACGACGGCAACTCTGTAGAAGAAAAATTGATTTATTCCTGGTTAATTTTGCGCATATTTAATTGATCTCTGAACATTTTCGTGGTAAATGATAGAAAAGTGTCTTTGGTAATAAAGAATAATCATGGGAGTAATTAGTTTTGCGGTCTTTTCGATAACTTACTGCGGCAGTAGGGTAACTTTCCATTCCATCGTCCATCTATGCACTCCAACCTTGTGTTACCGATCAGCTGGAAACTGTTATTAGCACAGCGAAATTCTATGGCAGCCTTACCAACTTTTGGGTTCACATTAGATACTTCACCATTTAAAATGTTACGCAACTCGGGACAAAACCCTAAATGAAGCAATAGAATTTTTAGGAGGAGGAAATATAATAATACTTCTGATTATCTTGTGTTGAGTATAAAGCGTTATATCTTTTCACTTGTACACAGGTGGTGACAGATGACCACTGATAGGAAACAAACCTCTCTCGTCGTCATTTAAGAACTCTCTTGGTCTCTGTAGTGATGATTATCAATGACATTTCTTGAAAGCCGCACCTTGGAATTGAAACTAAGTTTGACATGCAAACATATATTTGTATTAATCACCAATGTTAAGGTGAAATGCAGTACCACTAAACAATGCCGATCTTAAGTTATAGAACATTTTGTTTTATTCTAAAGAGAATTTACGTCATACCTAGACATCGGAAGTGTGTCTGTGTCCATTTGTTCCCATTGCATGTTATAATTGGTATTCCATCCAGATAAAAACCCTGTTTACAGCCAAAGAGAATTACTTGGCTGTTTTGGTACTTTTCTCGCTGAGTGGAATGAATGATGACTGAGCCATGAGGATAGGTTGGTTGATTGCACCCGGAGCCTTTAAAAAATTAGACAGCTGACCTCAAGATTACGAGACGAACGGTGAGTTAATGTCACAATGTACAATCCCTTTACAACAAATCCCTGTCTTATAAATGACGAAATGCTGAAGAATAATAAATGACAACCTCTTTTGCTTAATTTGAGAGTGGCGTGTTGCTCATTTTCTGGCCTCAGCGGCAAAGGAAGCTTATTACTCTCAGCATGAGGTAAAGATCTCTCTTCCTCAATGACATGTCACGCACGGATCCGAAACCGTGTGTGCGTCAACAAAATTTATAATTGATAACTTTGTAAACTTCTAAAGTGATTTGAGTATTTTACTTTTCGTACCCACCAGATGTGACAATTACCAGCGAGAGAATGTTCAAGACAGAAACTAGCAGTGCACTGTTCATTTCGTTAAGGAAAACCCTGAAAACCCCCTTTCCACTGGGTTGCTCAAGAATAAGATATGTAGAGGCACGTTTCCTTTTTCAGTGTCACAAACTTAAAACTAACTGAGCTGTTATCAAACATCAGTTCACGTTTGCCAAAGGAGCGGCCTTTCGAGCAGAGTTTAGAGGTCCTTTAGTCCTTGCATATTAAAATTTTTACAATTTTTAGATGAAACCAATGCTGAAAGCTGACGCATGACATCCTCTTTCGTTTAGAGAGAACGAGGTTATTTATCTTCCAGCTTGAGTGTCAAGGGAAGCTTATTGAGCAAAACATGAATGAGAGGTTACTTTTGGTCAGATATGTGCTTCAACGAGAATTTGTCGCTCGTACCCGCTTTGTCAAAAGCTTGTATGATGCAGTCGATATTATTTTTCGTACTCACCACATGTGACGATCACAAGCGAGAATGTAAAGGACGCTGAAACCAACCCCACACGTTTCACGCGGAAGCCCAAAAAATCTAACCTCCTCACTGAAATAGGTTGTTCAAATTAAGATAAGAATGTGAAAAAACAAGTCAGCAGCCTTTTAGATGTAATACAATCCAACTTCCTCTAGCATTGTAATTTAATATAAGAATACTTATGTTAAAGCCCTTTGGCTTGTATTCATTTGACTGATTTACATCGGAAAACAAATTAATCTCCTACAGTGTGTAAACAAACAAGCGATTTATTGAAGAAGCCACTTCCTGCATTTCCACCCGTAAATAATGAGATACAACGACTTCTCTTTACGGAAAGCTAACAAGATACCAACTGGTTAATTTAGCTTCCCAGCTTGCTTTGTAATTTCTCGTCCGATTTCATTGTTAAATTAAAACATGATGTCGTATGTTTTGAACTTTATACGATTGAATAATTTAATGAGCTTACAGAAAGATTAAATTTCCTGATTGTGACATACTCGAGGAAAAACTGTGTTATTAAAATCATGTGAGGGTAATTGAGTGAGATTGGGTTAATCTTTTTCATTTCTTCATTTTGATTATCGTGTCATTCAAGAACCTGGCGAATGAGCATAAACATTGAGGAGGTTAATTGTTTTTGACAGTTTTGCTGACCCTTATGCCAATTCCATAGTTGAAGCCCTGCCACTTTCTTTTCGCGATCAAATGTCGATAGTCTTGTTTTTCTTTGCAGAAATCAGGCATATTATTCGAAGTGAAAGCGAGGATACGAAAAAAGCATTTTTTGTGTCATAATTTTACGTCATGAAATGCTTACGGATGAAACAAGTCAGCAGCCTTTTTGAGGAACGGATTCGAAGCCGCGAGTGTATTTTTTTTTTCTTTTTAGTGTATCATGCACTAACAACTTTGTTAACGTTTTATGTGATATGAGTATTTTACTGTTCGCACTAAACATATATGACGATCCCGAGCGAGATAACGTTCAACACAGACACTAACAATACACGGTTCATTTTGTTGAGTGATACCTTGAAACCATCTATTCCAATTGCTTTGAAAAAGAATAGGGACGTGTAAAGGCACGTTACCTCTTTCTGTGTGACAAACTTATGCTAACAACTCTGTAATTAACACCACTTTCAATTTGTCGTAGGAGCTCTGTCTGCGGCAGAATTCAGTGGCACGTGTCTTTCCATATTAAAGAAACAATTTAAAGAGAAGAACAAGAAAAGGATTCTGAAGGAAGACGTAAGACATATTCTTTCGTTTGGAGATTATCGCGTTTTTTATCTTCCACTTGAAAACGGCGAAATTTGACACTTACAAATCTCTTACATCTCTTGTAATTTTGTAATACTTGCCGTTTATACTCTAAAAATACGGCCCGATAGCGATATATACCATCCTTCAGCTAGCTCTTCCGAGAGTTAGGATACATCGTACTCAAAAAGTAAAGAAGAAATGACAGCTGCGAGTACAGTTCAGCTCGAAGAAGAAGAACTGTCCTTATCAGGCGAAGACTTCGACGAAGATTGACTGATTGACTGGTTTCTCGCCTGTCGTGTTCAAGTCGAGACAAGAACAACAAACCACTGTTTGGCCGCCAAACCGTCCAATCAATGCGCCAAAAACTCGCTAAGCGCTAAGGTCGACTACTGTGAATTTTAAATACAAATATCAAGGTAGAAAACGCAAAAAAAAACTTCGTGTCATTGGTGGTTGTAATCGAGAACGAGAGCGATAGAGAAAGGGAAACGATTAAGCCTGAAAAGAGGTCCAGATGTCTTTCATTTGGTTGCAAACTATTGAAGTCCTCAATTCTAACATATCACATTGGCAAGATAGACGAGGTCATGATCTTAGGCATTATGCACGGGGCATGCTGTTATACGGTTATTTGAAGTTTAATTTCCTGCTATTGCCCAGGGCCCAACTAGAGTGTAAGTGGAGTTTTTTTTTCTCGCTAAGGAATTAACGTTATCTTTAACAAACAAGAACGTGCTAATTGATATCTTGGTGCATTCTTGCTCTGTTCACAAACAGTAGGTTGCTAGCTTCCCTGCGTAGCTCGGTGAGCACAGTTTTTTTTTAAATTAATTTTTAAAATTTGTTAAAAATTTTTTTTAAAACTGAACTGGTGAGCAGCACGCTCTGAAAAAACTTCAGGCCCGTACGGGATTTGAACCCATGACCTCTGCGATACCGGTGCAGCGCTCTACCAATTGAGCTAACAAGCCAACTGGTCTGAAGTTTTTTTCAGGTCCTATTTACAACTACTCGTTTCAGTAGTGTTCTTAGCTGCGAGGATCTCCTAATTTCATCTTTCCACCGCAGTGCAAATATGTGAATTTTCATATATCTAAAATCTTCATTCACTTGGATGTTTATTTGGACCCAATTCATTGACCTGCTCCCAGTTGGCTTGTTAGCTCAATTGGTAGAGCGCTGCACCGGTATCGCAGAGGTCATGGGTTCAAATCCCGTACGGGCCTGAAGTTTTTTTTCAGGTCCTATTTACAACTACTCGTTTCAGTAGTGTTCTTAGCTGCGAGGATCTCCTAATTTCATCTTTCCACCGCAGTGCAAATATGTGAATTTTCATATATCTAAAATCTTCATTCTCTGGCTTTTAGTTACCTGGCCATTTCAGTTTGAGAGGAAAGCATTTTTTCTAACATATGGGTCATGCTAATGTGAGAAAATGTAGGTTCGGAGTTTCTTCTTTAAGGAGGCATTCAACAACGTATCTTTTCTTTGTTTTAATTTGATAATGACTCTTACAAAGGTGAATTGTATGTTTGGTAGTGCTTAGAGTTTAGAATGGACTCGAGAAATCATTAATTTAACACTATCATAAACTGTGACTGAATATTTAGTGGAAAAGTCGGTGTATTTACATATCCCCATAAGAGATTCTCGATACCCATCACAATGAACGTTATAGATATCAGCTAAACATGTACAGGTGTACAGGTAAACCTCGTGATATTCAATATCTCATCATCAGTGTTCACATACAGTCAAACCTTTGTTTTGTATCAGATTCACTATGTAAACGTCACTTTTAAGACTCCACGGACAGGTGGCTTTACACAGTGTAGTAAGAAACAGTGCCCAACAATTATCTGGGAATATTATCCGGGAGGCTCAGGTATGAATCCCATTGAAGCCTGAACATTTCTCAAGCATTTTTTATCTGTAGTTTCTGCACCTTCCATTCCCCTGTGAGGAACATTTCTCTACTTATGATTGTTAGGTGTCAATTAACTAAAATAGGGTCACACATTCATTTAAATTTAACATTATGCATATATTAATTTCTTGTTATACCCGAAAAGGTATTACCACAGTACTACAATTTAAATGTCGTCTTTTATTAGGTTATATACGCAGTGATCTGTAATCAGAGTTCTCTGTAAAGCTTTTGCTGGTCATTCCTTTAAAGAAAGGAATGATATTTTGAAGGTTTATTGTATGAGTAATGTGGCAAGAACCCTTTTAATTTGCCAGTGATTTTTTAGATTTAAAAACATATTTTAAAGCAGCTATTACTTCAGAATTTGTTTTATATATATCTTTTTCCCTTCAGTGAATAAAGTGTCAATGCTTTTATAACTGTAAACATCAAAGAAATTGCATCACATGTATCTCATCACCTGATTGTCCCTGTTAAAGGAACTTAGTTTACATTGTATACTGTATTATTTTGTTCTCTGGGGCTCAGATATAGTGTCTTCTGTTTCCACACTACAAGAGAGGGTTCTCATAACTGTTCATGCACCCATAGACAAAATGAATTTATTTGTGAAAGTAGATCAGAATACAACTGGCAACGTCGTTGCTGATGAGGACCCACATTGTAGAATAACTAAATAATTTATGGCTTGAGTCAGCAATTAAAATACACTTCATAAAAAAGAGTCAAAAGACAAAAAAAACAGTAAAGATACTTAAGAGGCACCCATTGTACACTGTATGTATAAATTAGCTTCTGCAATGTCTCTTGCTAGTTTAGGGGTTAATCTTGGTATGCTAGGGTAGCTCTGGGTTCTTATTTGAATTTTCAGAGCTGGATCCTCAGAAAACTAATCCACATAAAACATTTGGAGTAATTATTTTGAGTTAACTGTTGCTTAGTTTAGATCATTTTTTTTTTCATATCTAACTAATCGAGAAGCCTTGACTGTGCCCTGTTCTGTTGTAAAGCACGCAGGAAGTGTCGGGAGAAACACGAGACGTAGTCTCAGTATGCTCCATACTCTCATTGAGCACGCTACAATAAGCCAATTAGAATCCTTGCTATAATAGTTCAAATAATCTGATTAGCTATCAAAAAGCTGTCAAAAATGTCAAACTATCAAAGTTCGAAAACCATTAAAGTTGGACATGGTTTGATGCTACTCTGGTGAACAGAGTCGGCGAAAAGGACAACGTTCAAATTTTTTCATTTTCTAGAAGCGCTTGAGGATTCTAAATGAAGATAAAATATTTACAATAGAAATTGGTATTTTTCAAAGAGAAATATGGAGTTATTCGAGGACCGTGTCCAGCCGTGTCATTGAAAAGTTTTTAACTGTCAAGCGTTTGGATGGCTTCGTACTCTGTTTACAGGGTTAGCGAAAAAAGTCAAGTTCGAAATTGTAGGCTGCCTGGAAGCGCTTGAGGATTGTAAATAAAGGTAGAACATTTTCGTATAAATATTTTTGAATTTCGAAGAGAAATATGGAAAAATATCGGACTGCCGGACGTTTAATTACTTTAAGTTTAGTCACTTCGTTGCAGGAACGTCAGCAACACTGACAGTTTGCGTTACAATTCTTATTTGCTGCTTTGCATGGACAACAACCTCGACCACTCTTTCGAGCGCAAGCTCCTCTCCACGGGCAGGAAACCTCAACTGATCCTTGGTCCTATTTAACAAGGATGGCAAACTTTAATTCAAAAAAGATTGATAAATGGATGAAAACGTGGTGGATCAACATTTTCACCTTCTTCGAAATGCTCGCAAAGATTTTTGTGTTCCTCTTTAGCAACAACCGTGCCATAAGCGTTTACTGCCTCGGTATCTACAAAATCAATGGATTCATTCAATTCCATGCCGGATTAAAACGTATAGAACTGTTTTAAACAGAATTATTTTGACAAGCTCTTCAAATTCATCGGAGAAAACGCAGAAGGTATTTCGAGACAACGTAACAAGGTAAAAATAACTGACCTATCAGAGGCGCTATTTAAACACAAGCGGTGGTTCAAAACAAAAACAAACGACTGCATTGCATCAAGGTTGGAAATGGGCCTATAAAGTTTATATTCTACAGTTGTTTACAAACTTAAATGGTCTGGCAGGTCGAATTTAACACTTTTGCCTAAAGGTTTTTAGTCTCTAATACAGAATGTGGAGATGAAATGTTCAATGAAATCCAGCTAAATTGTGGCTAAGAAAAAACACGCAAGTTTTTTCACATGACAATTAGAAAACAAACTGCTTAAGGCTAGTGTTTTATGAAGGAACGACAGCCGAATTCATCAGAACATGAAGATTCCTCGGGATGACAGAGCCGTCAAACTCTATGCTCTATACTCTCAAAGCACGCTCTTTCAACCAATGACAGCGCACGTTATATCCGAAATTTAATATGATAGAATTTCCAGCCCTCTATGGCTATACTCCACCTCAGTAATCAGTTCATGTACCATATGACTATAAGTGGAAACTGTTGAGCTTTCTTTTTTCATTCATCTATTTATCTATTCATTTTCTCCCCTCACGGCGGGGAGAAGAGATGAAGACAAAAAATGAAACATAAACTTGAGATCAACTGTAAAATATATGTTTTCCCAATATTTCGGTTCGGGAACTGATGAACCCGTCATAAGGGGCTTAAGGGAAAAATGAATGGTTCATTAGACCGTCAACTGACCATCATGTGTTGAATGTTGTAGCTCAATGGTTCAATTTGACTCGCGTGGAAAAAAGGCAACATGTCGAGACCTGTGATCGTGAAATGGGATAACTTATGATTGGTCAGTCGATATCTTGCTCTGTAAGTCACTTTATTATATAGCTAGCAGCGCAGGCGGGCAAGATGAAGTGAATCCTGTGTTCTGATTGGCTACCTGAGCGGGCATGATGGACCCACCCTCACCCCCTCGGGATTCTCCGCATTGATCCCACGCAAGAAAACTTACAAAGTTCGTAACTTTTGGACAATGTTTGCATATACATAGAAAAAAATAAACGACCCTCTTGGGTTTATTGTGCCGCAAACACAGTTGGCTTTCACTATCGGCTCTCCAAATAAACAGGCCATTCTTGATTCTTATCAAAACGAAATCTTTTGCTATACAATGAATCCCTTTAATGATTAAGCCAAGAGAATATAAACTCTCTTGACCAAGCTTGTATGGTCAAGATTACTGGATATTAGCCTCGTTCTTTTTCTACTTTTTTATGGACCGAGACTTCGTCTCAGTCCATAAAAACGCAAAAAAAAAAAAAAAGAACTCGGCCAATATCCAGCCATTTTGACCTCACGCTCGGTCAATAACGCATATGAATATATTTTATGCAGACCCGTACAAATCTGGCAAGGGAAGACAGTACAAAAAATGACCTTCCGAGCCCAAAATTTGTCTAACGTATAAGTCGGTGGACTTCCTTTTCCTTGTAATTCGGTTCATCAAGTGTTAACTTCAACACTGATGACAGAAGTATTTCGTCAAAATCTGTTACACTTAAAAGTCTGAGCCAGTGATATAGAGAGAGCTATTAGTCAACGTTCTCGTTGCTTTTGCGTCTGTCAATTTGATGCCAAAAGCACATCAGTATCAGTATAAGGTTTTATAGCCAATGCTTCTCAACCTACTTCTTTAGCAAATAAAAATACGCTAATTAATATCAGTGATCCCGCAATATTCCATGAATATTGGTCAGAGGATTCTTTGGTGCAACAGCTGTCACTTTAACATCTCAATGTTAGCGCAGTTAAACGATTGCACAGGAGGCTTATTACATTTAGGACCGAACGTTATTACATTTAGGGCTTTATTACATTTAGGACCAAATGTTATTACATTTAGGACTTTATTAAATTTAGGACAGTTATTACATTTAGGACTTCAACAAGGGGTACCATTTGATCGTGTTGTCCTATCGTCTAGATGAGAGTAGACCTTTGTTGGAGTGTTGTTTGTAGTTAGCTGTAGTGAATCACGTTTTAGCAATATCAGCTGGAGTCATCATGGGAGGCAAAGATGGCCCTTTTTTTGCTAATTTACCGCGCGTGCGCGACGAAAACTGGATCTTGCTATTCAGAAGCAACAAAAAAAAAACAGCTAATGTACAAAAAATTAGACGAAGGACGCCAATCTTATATTTTAAAAAATCATGGAACTCAATTTCTCTCAAGTTTATTCACGTCGTTCAATCCATTTTTTTACTTTGAGGTTGATTATCTTTAATTTGCTTTATTTTCGACTACAGACTGTATACTAGTCTGAAATTACTCTGGCGTAGAGACCTCAGGAGGAGTATGTTTATTACCTGTGACACAATCTAAGACTGGGGCCGTGAAAAAAAAAAACAAAAACAAACAAAAATTCTAAACTTGGTTTCTATCATATCTTAAAGGGGGATGTCACCTGATTGCACTCCCAATGCTAATCTGCTTCACACTTAATTTTACAGGAAGTTTCAGAAAAGAGGGTTAACCAACTTGTCTCGACACACTAACAACAAGCTACATGGCTGTAAGGGATTTTTTTTTTCCAAGAAGGAAACCGTAAATGAGTTATTCTCAAATTAAAGCGGTCCGTTATATTTTGTGTTTTATTCAACATCAGAGCAAAAGTCAGGGTATGAAACTAAACGTACACGTCCAAGCTTAACCCATTTTTTTTTACCATCGTCAAACTGCACTTCCACCAAAGAGTCACCTGAAGTATCATTAACTTTTCCAGTTCGATACCACCCTGAGTAGCCAAACTGATGGGCTATAACAGGCGAGCTAGGTAATAAGTCCCCTATGGATGGTACTTTATCAATGATGAGCTTTCGATCAGTCCTTCGGTAACTACGTGTCAGTTTGTTATTGTTTACCAATGCGAAGTCAAAATGTGTTGCAGTTATCTTTGTGATGGAAGCTTTCCAGTAATTGTCTGCTTTCATATTATTTTTCCAAAATCCCCAAAACACTGCTCCGACCCGGACACATACTAAAGGAAAATGAGTAAACTATCATTAATTCAAACTGTATTAATAAATAATGAAATAAAAATTTGAACATACATTTAGATACAGTATGCAACACCTCAGATTACACGCTCAACTTTTTTTCAGGAACCTTACAGACCCTAAAAGCGTTTCTTTATAGGTAATTGAATAAACTGCTTTTTCATTTGCTCTAATATATTTTTCTGTCACTTTAATCGTAACAGAATTATCAACTGTATTCACATTGAAATATTGATGGTATCATTGTTATTTACATTACACATAAACTTGCCTTCACACTCTGGAAATTGACCCTCCCATACACCCGCATTGCACTTTAACTTGGCTGAGCCTCTTAACTTGTAGCCTTTATTGCATTTAAACTTGATCACAGAACCGTAGCTGTAATTGCTTCCGACGATTGTTCCGCTAACGAGTTTTCCCGGCTTAGCACATACGCCTAAAAGAAAACAAGAGAGGCTGTCAATAAATACAGAAACAAGTAAGCAGATAACTAAGTAAGACTGGCTTATAGATGAACATAACACTATAAATGAACATTAATGAAACGAAAATAAACACGAGGCTGATGGTCCAAGTTCCATCTTATTGTTTTCGTTAAAACTGCCATATTCAATGACATAATCTGGAAAACGTATTTCCAAATACCAATAATTGATGGAAATTGAAGTTAAGAAATATTGACACATTTGTATGACTTCAGCCTGCTGTGCAGGTTGTCTCACTTGGACGATCAAACGTTATAAGCTCGGGATCGTCCATTCAACCGGCCATGTTTGATTTAGAGTTAGATTGGACGGTGAGGGTAGGGGGCGGGAGGAGGGCGAGAAGTAATCTTAACTCCCGTACCCCTCTCCTTATTTTTTATCGTCGTCCTTCCCCAGCCTTCCGCTGCCATAAAAACAAAGATGGCGGCCATAATTTTTGTATAGAAAATACTAAGCACTCGCCCGCCAAAATTACGCCTGGTTTGCAGGCTAGTATGACTTTTGATTGATTGGTGGTTATTCATTCATACGCCGCGATATCGTTTCCCTTATTGAATAAAGGAAAAGAAAGACGACACTTAACTATTACTCAAAGGTGACAAGTATAATTTGAATTAAAAAGAAATAATACATAATGATAATGATATAATGATACTGATAAAAAAGATATTATGATAATGCAATGGATTGAAGAGAAACTGGACCTATGCAACTCGGTGAACTTTCATTCCATATCCCATCGAGGCACTTGATCTGTAAGGACCCTTGGGGCTGGAATCCTGAATTACAGGAGAAAGAGACCACGGCCCCATGACTGACACCATTGTTATGAATTTTTCCATTAGATAACAGTGGAAGGGGTTTACAATACTCTGAAAGATATAACAGATAATGCCATGATAATATATACGAGGGAATGCTAGCGTTCCAAAAGCCATCGTTGCAGTGCAGAATGTTGGTGCCATCCATAGTGTACGGTGCATGACAAGCGTACTCGATGTTGCTACCATGTGAAAAGAGTTTTCCTTTAAAGAAGATTCTGTTTGGTGTGTATCCATTTTTTGGACTGCCTTCGAATTTGCATTTTCCTTCAATAGCAGAAATGTTTTTTGGTAAGTTTGTTTCGTGTGCATTGTCCTAGCTTGCTTTCTCGTTGTGCCATTTAGAGCGTATCGACGAAATTTTTCAATTCCTTGAAATTATGTTTCAGGGCTAAGGCATAGTTTGAAGATCAGGTTTCCTTCGCGCTTAAAGTTTGTCTTTCACGATACTTTAGCTTTATTTCGCTTTCTCCCTTCCTCCCTCATAACTTAAACTTAACAGATAGTTGGTTATCTTATTATAGAGGTGATTATTCATAATTTCAAATTTGAATATTTTTTTAACTGGTATGATTTCAGAGGCATATTACTTTCCCACAAATTAAATAGTGTAATTGTGTGCTAAACGAACTGTGAATTACCAAAGAATGGATCAAAAGGGTTGCCTGAATTATCTCTCGAAACCTCTAATATAACACCATATGTATAACACCGCGTCTTTTTCGTGGATGAGGTGAGAGTGGAGTAATATCATTTTAAATACAATACTTTTTTTTGTATGTTCTAAAAAATGCACAAAAATGTCTAAATTCTTAACCAGTTTAATGGGTGCCTTGACCTGTTCCTTATCTTAAGCTATTAAACGTGTAATTTAACATCGTACGAACCATTTTTTTCAGTAAGTTTCTCTGATGAATCATGAATGCTTAACTATCAGCATAATTGTACACTAGAAATGCTCACCTTTACATTGAGGTACGCTGGGGATCCATACTTTGTCAACGCAACGAATTTTCCTATTACCATTCAAGTCATAACTATTGTCGCAAGAGAACGTTGCTACATCTCCGTCGAGGAGAGGGCCGACAGGAACACAGGACGAAATTGCAAGAATCCGTAAACGGAAACGTGACAGAAACATGTTAAACCGTTCTGGAAACACGACGGATAACCTGTGTTTCCGTTACCGGTTTCGTGACGTTTTCTCGCGTTTCCGTTGCTGCGTATACAACGGAACCGGACCACTTTTTGTGCATGTTAAACATAACGGAAACATGGAGTTGCATGTTTCCGCCACGTTTCAGAAATGGAAACATGTGATTTCGTCCTGTGAAACTTCTTGTGCAATTTTCCTTTATTCGGATTTCTCGGTGTGTGACAAATGCCTTGTTCATCGCAGAAGAATTGCAGTTATTATCTTAAAAGTGCAATTTAATTTTTTCAAACACGAGAACACAGCAACTATTAGCAGATATTACAGTTATTAACTTAAGATTGCAATTTAGTTTTGGCAAACACAAGAATCAAGCTTTCCTAACCTTTGCAAACTGGAAAAGGTTTGTTCCATTTTCCATCATTGCATGTGATCGGGGAGGTACCGACTCTTGTATAGCCAGAACGACAAATAAACCTTACTGATTGTCCATGTCTAAAATCTCTGCCCCACAATCCTCCGTTTGGAGGTGCAGCAGGTTTGGCACATGGTGCTATGGAGTCAAAGCAGGACTTATCTGTTTATCATCATCGTTATACTTTAATGTAAGTTCACGAATGCCATGCAGCATCAAAGGAGGATGGATTAACATGCCAAAAACGTTAAATATACAGATGTAAGCAAGTAATCTTTTAAAAGTGAAGACATACTATTGTGCACTGGAGGACTTCTCTGTAAATCGTGACAGTAGTTGGAATACAGTAAAAACTATAGCTGAAATAGCTACTTTAAAGTTAGTAAAGTTCCTCTTTTGAATGTGTTTACTCATGAATGATTTTATAGGGATACTTAGTGCGGTTTCTTCATTACCAAAATATATTGTCTGATGGATCAAAGCAAGAGTTTCTTCTCCAATGCCGGAAGTTAACGTATTCATCCATTGTCAATAGGCCTGAGAGCAGTTGCATACTGATTTTGATTCAAGGTTTGTCGTCCTACGGACGGTGGCGTAGGTGCCACGAGTTTCCCCTATTTGATATCGATGTGTTGATAAAAAAACGTTTGTGGCTTGTTAAGAAAGTGAATCAAAACTTACCGCGGTACCTATTTAATCCAACATGTGACGCGTGAAGGACTCGTATTTCTCGTTTCAGTTAACTATTTAAAGTACATGAAATATTGAACGTAACTCGTTTAGAGACGTTCAACTTTTTCTTTTATTTGCGCTAGAGGGTTTTTCCACGTCGATTCCTCCCAGGTGGAGGCCGTGAAAGTTTGCTTTTTTATTTTATTTTTCTTACTTCTAAACCAATGGAAATTACACGTATGAGACATACCTTTACACGAAGGAATACTGCTGCTCCATTCTCCATTTATGCAGTTCAATCTTGAGGATCCGAATAACGTATAATTTGCATGGCACTTTATTTCCACTTCACCACCACCCTTCCGTGTTACATGTGTGATGACTCCGTTCCTTACTGGTCCAAGGATGGGACAGGAGGCTATAAAAGTGACGGTGTAACAAAGGTTTACTTATTTTTTTTCTACATACATTTATGATATAAACGTCATGTTTTTAAGAAAATATACTCATTTACCATGACGAGCCTGATGAGAGCAAAATATTTCCCGTTCGGACCGACTTAACTAAGACAATAAGTATTTTATTATATGACCGCCTACTCCTCATTTGTTGAAATCAACTTTTAACCTAAGACTCGATTACATAGATAAGAAGGAGTGTACTTTGGAGGAGCGCTAGAGCCTTTTTTGTTGAAAAATCTGTCAACAGTTCAAAAGTTTCGCCAATATTTAAAGTAACCGATATCTTGCCTCGGAAGCTTCCAAATCTTTTTGAAACTGATAAAAAAACTTTTTACCCATGAAGCTGTTATGTCATGTTTGGATACAATTTCAGCGGGATAAAATACTTTGGTCCGCCGCTAGTCCAGTTTGGCGCACGCGATTGCAGGACTAAACTATTTTTTTCCTGATCCATATGACCCGTTTTCTTTCGTGAGAGACGAAGAGCTTGAGGGTCGCTGTTATTTACATTTCTTTGACTCGTTGTATGGGTGCAATCACTTCAACGAGAAATACCCTCGCAGGTATCGAAGCCAGCGCAAAAACCGCAAGTGGCAACCAACGCAGGTGGTGAAAAGATCGATTCTTGCGTAATAATTCGGTTGAGGTGTTTTTCGTTTCTTTTAATAGCGATATGGGTTTGTGGTTGTTGTTTGTGGTAATCAGTGGTGGTCAAACGATGTAAATTTGATGTGACCGCATTGGAGAAAACATACCGATGCACTTGAATTCTCTTTTCAGCCACGTCGTATAGTTACACTCCATAATCGGCGATCCCGTCAAAAGATGACCTTCATGACAGGCCAGATAAAGGGTTGTACCGTGTGTGTATCTCACTTGATCCGTTCTTGGATATATGATACGTGAATTACTTGGAATGGAGGGTTTTACACATGGCATAACTGGAAAAAAACAAAGAGCAACAAAGAGTCTCATTTTTTTGTTTTTTTTTTTGTTTGCGATTTCAATTATTTATGATGTGATAAAATACAAGTAGACAGAACCATTATAAGTGTAGCAACCAAAACTCATGCTTTTATCCTAATTATCTATTTTAAAAAAAAAGTTGGTTAAGATTCTGCCGATAACCATTTTCTCCAGGTAAAAATTTATAAATGAAAGTTTCATTTCGAGCCAACTCTATTCGTGTTCCGTACTTCATCAAGTATGCGCACGGGCGCTTATCTAAAATCTTGGCTAAGGGGAGGGCAGGTAATGCGAATAAAGGAACTCTGCGAGCATATTGAGAAATAAATAACTCATAGTGACATAGCTGAATGGAAAGTATTCTCCTGTACTGATTCCGCTGTAGTTCTCGGTCTTCGCAGTACACATAGTGGCAACAAATATAAAACAGGTAAATAGAACCAAAATAAAACTGGGCGAAGTTCCTGCAGTTTTGTGACAAACCCATTTATATTATAAGAATATGCTGCGCACAATTTATTAGCTACGATATATTCGCAAAACTCTTTCCTGGGATGTCGAGGAATTACTAACCTTTACATTGCGGGACAGAAGAATTCCATCTTCCGTTAATACAACGAAGGCTACGATCTCCACCCAACTCGTAACCATGTTTGCATTTGAAAGAAACCACTTGACCATGGGAGAAGCGTGTGCCAAACACGTGTCCATTTGGCAGATCCCTAATCTTCGTGCAGTAAGCTGAGAAATAAACATTGAACAATGACTTACGACATGAACATCAAACTTGTGTGGTCCTCAGATGCAAATGGCGCAACGGAAGGGTAACAAGAACCGGAAAGTTTAGTGCTGAAGATTTGGCTGAAGCCATTTATAAAAAGGTCAGTTGGTCTAGGAAAATAACGCCGAGACAGCTTACCTTTACAAGTTGGAACACGTGAACTCCAAACGCCCTTGTCGCATGTTAATGTTGAAGCCCCACATAGATCAAAGCCTGTAAAACAAGAGAATTTTACTTCTGCACTATGGCTGTTGTCACTACCATGTAGTGTACCGTTAGCTGGACTTTGCAGACGAACACACGACGGCAACTCTGCAGAAGAAAAATAGATTTATTCCAAGTGAATTTTGCACATATTTAATTGATCTCTGAACATCTTTGCGTTAAATTATGAAAAAGAGCAAAAACGTTGCTTTGCAAGCAGTTTTAATCAGTTTTATGTCAAATAGTTGTCAATTTTTTTATGCAATTTTAATGCAAGTTAATTAGTTTTACGATCTTTTCGATAACTTACTATGACAATAGGGTAACTTTCCATTCCATCGTCCATCTATGCATTCCAACCTCGTCCTACCGATCAGCTGGAAACTGTTATTATCACAGCGAAATCCTATGGCAGCCTTGCCAACTTGTGGGGTCACATGAGATACTTTACCATTTAAAATGTTACGCAACTCCGGACAAAACCCTGAATGAAGCAATAGAATTTTTAGCTGGAGGAATGAAATAATGCTTCTGATTACTATCTTGTGTCTTTTCACTATTACACATGTGGTGATAGATGACCACCGATAGGAACCAAACCTCTTTCATCGTCATTTTGCAACTCTCTTTGTCTCTGTAGTGATTATCTATGACATTTCTAGAAAGTTGCAGCTTGGAATTGAAAAGTTTGTCATGCAAACATTAATTTTTTGCACGAATCACCGAATGTTATTGTCAAATGCAGAACCCCTAAACATTGCCGATCTTAAGTTATGGAACGTTTTGTTTTATTCTGAAGAGAATTTAATTGCGTCATACCCAGACATCGGAATTGTGTCTGTGTCCATTTGTTCCCATTGCATGTTATAATTGGCATTCCATCCAGATAAAAACCCTGTTTACAGCCAAAGAGAATTACTTGGCCGTTTTGGTACTTTTCTCGCTGAGTGGGATGAATGATGACTGAGCCATGAGGAGAGGTTGGTTGATCACACGTCGAGCCTTAAAAAAAAATAGACAGCTGACGTCAAGATTTCGAGACGAACGGTGAATTGATGTCACAATGTACAATCCCTTTATAACAAATGACCTGGGTTAAGAAACAAATAGTTTTCGCCTAATAATGGTAAATTATTTGCAAAGGAAGGCTAATTTAGTGACCTTGTCACGTTTAACGTTAAGTCCTAATGTTTCTTAAACACTCTTAGAAATCATGATCCTTGTTTCCGGATTTCTTTAGCATGCACTTTTCCATGCGTGTCAATAAATCTCTTTTAATTATCTTGTTTAAATTGGATGAGTTAGGTATCAAATGGCTCCATTGGAACAGACAGAGCCTGAGACAGAGCTGCCCTTAAGAACCTGGCTAATAAGCTTTAAGACCAAGCGTTATGGTGGCGAACGTTTTTTTGGCGATTTGTGCTGACCCTTATACCCATTCCATGGTCACAGACCTATCCTTTACTTGTCATGAGCAATTGTGAATAGTCTTGTTTCATTTTTCGGAAATTAGGCAGATTTTTAGAAATAGAGGTGGCGATGCGGAAAAAAGTAAGCATCTCTGTCTTATAAATCACGGAATGCTGAATAAAAACAAATGGCAACCTCTTTTGCTTAATTTGAGAGTGACTTGTTGCTTATTTTCTGGCCTCAGCACCAAACAGGAAGCTTACTACTCGTAGCATGAGGTAAAGATCTCTTTTCCGCCATGACAGGTCAGACACGGATCCGTGCTTCATCAAAATTTGTAATTGATAATTTTGTAAACTTTTAAAGTGATTTGAGTATCTTACTTTTCGTACTCACCAGATGTGACAATCACCAGCGAGAGAATGTTCAAAACAAAAACTAACAGTGTACAGTTCATTTCGTCAAGGAAAACACTGAAAACCCCTTTCCACTTGGTTGCTCAAGAATGAGGATATGTAGCGGCACATTTCCTTTTTCAGTGTCATAGACTTAAAATTAACTGAGCTGTTATGAAATATAAGTTCACGTTTGCCAAAGGAGCGGCGTCTCCAGCAGAGTTAAGTGGCACGCGCTCTTGCATATTAAAAGTTTTACAATTTTTAGATGAAACCAATGCTGAAAACTGACGCATGACATCCTCTTTCGTTTAGAGAGAACGGGGTTGTTTATCTTCCAGCTTGAGTGCTAAGGGAAGCCTAAAGAGCATAACATGTATGAGAGATTACTTTGGTTCAGATATGTGCATAATCGTGAATTTGTCGCTCGTACCCGCTTTGTCAAAAGCTGGTATGATGCAGTCGATATTATTTTTCGTACTCACCATATGTGACCATCACAAACGATAATATAAAGGACGCTGAAACCAATCCCACGCGTTTCATGAGGAAGCCCGTAAAATCTAACCGTCTTACTGAAATAGGTTGTTCAAATTAAGATAGGGTGTGGAAAAAACACGTCAGCAGCCTTTTAAATGCAATGCACTTCAACTTCCTTTAGTACTGTAATTTAACATAAAAATATTAATGTTGAAGGGGCAGCATCTCCAGCAGCGTTCAGTGTCACGAATCTTTACCATTTGGCTTGTATTAATTTGACTGATTTACATCGAAAAGCAAATTAGTCTCCTACATTGTGTAAACAAACAAGCGATTCAGCGAAGTAGCCACTTCCTGCATTTCCACCCGTAAATGATAAGATAAAACGACTTCTCTTTATGGACAGCTAACAAGATACCAACTGGTTAATTAAGCTTCTCAGCTTTCCTTGTAATTTCTTGTCCGATTTCGTTGTTAAATTAAAACATGATGTAATATGTTTTGAACTTAAATAATTGATTTTGGAATAAGCTTACTAAACAATTAAATTTCCTGATTTTGATATACTCGAGGAAAAAATGTCTTCTTAAAATCATGTGAGGGTAATTGAGTGAGAATGGGTAAATCTTTTTCATTTCTTCATTTTGGTTGTCGTGTCATTCAAGAACTTGGTGACTGAGCCTAAACATCGAGGAGGTTAATTGTTTTTGACAGTTTTTGCTGACCCTTATGCCAATTCCATGGTTGAAGCCCTGTCACTTTCTTTTCGTGATCAAATGTCGATATTATTGGTTTTCTTTGCAGAAATCAGGCATATTCTTCGAAGTGAGAGCGATGATACGAAAAAAGCATTTTTTGTGTCACAATTTTACCTTTTTCATGAAATACTTACGGATGAAACAAGGCAAGCTCTTTAGAGTACCGTGTTGTTTATTTTCCGGACTCTGCGCAAAAGATTGCTCACTGAGATTTAAGTAACGGATTCGAAGCTGTGGGGTTTTTTTTTCCGTTTAATGTATCAATGATAACTTTGTTAACGTTCAATGTGATATAGGTATGTTACAGTTCTTACTCAACATATGTGACGACCACGAGCGAGATAAAGTTTAAAACAGACGCTAACAATGCACGGTTCATTTCGCTGAGGAATACCCTAAAACCACTGGTTTGAAACCACTGGTTTGATCAAGAATAGGCCCAGGGATGTGTAAAGGCGCATCACTTTTTACTGTGTGACAAACTTATACTAATTACGCTGTATCAACATCACTTTCAATTTGCCAAAGGAGCATTGCCTCCGGCAGAGTTCAGTTGCACATGCCTTTGCATATTAAACTAATACTTTAAGAAAAAAAAGATGCTGAAAGATGACGCATGACATATTCTTTCGTTTGGGGAGTACCGCGTTATTTATCTTTATTTGTGAAAGTAGATCGGAATAAAATTGGCAACATCATTGCTGATGAGGAACTACATTGAAGAATTACTGAAGAATATATTGCTTAAGTCAGCAATTAAAAAACACTTTATGGGAAATAGTCAGAAGACAAAAAACAATGAAAGTACTTGAGGGGCACCCATTTTACATTTTTAAGTAAAAATTAGCATCTGCAATGTCCCTTGCTGGTTTAGGGGTTGATATTGGTTTGCTGGATAAGCTCTAAGTTCTCATATGATAAGGAAGTAATCTTGGTATGCTGGGATAGCTCTAAGTCCTTATTTGAATGTTCACTGGTGGAGCCTCAGAAAACCAATCTAATATGACACATTTTGAATCTTTATTTTGAGTAAACTGTTGCGAAATTAGTTCTAAATAATTTATATTTTTCTTTCCACATTAAAATTTTTAAGGCAGTAAATGATGTTACAGCTGTTTGTACATCCTTGTCCCAGGAAAGTTTTTTTTTTTTTTTATCAATTGTTACCTGCAGGCAAACAAATAAAAATGGGTATTGAACAATTTTGTCTCCCGACATAAAGGGCTTCAGGGTGCCATCGTAAGGGTGTGTTCTCAAAATCAGTGCTTTGAATTTCCCCTCATGTGCAATCAATCCACTTCTCAGACACTAGGACATTACTTTGTCTATGGCAACCACATCAACTGTGCCATTGATACGGTACATGATATTATCATCTGCATCATCAATTAAACTACCCTTTCAGTGCGAATGGTTCGAACCCATGGGTATCATTTGATCGTGCTGTCTCATCATCCGTATGAGAGTAGTCCTTTGTAGGAGTGTTGTTTGTAGTTAGATGTAGTAACACACGTTTTTGCAATCTCAGCTGGATCATCATGATAGTTGAAAATGGCCCTTTATGCTAATTTACCACGCGTTCGCGACAAAAACTGGAGCTTGCATTTCAATAGCCGCGACGAATGGATTATTTTTATGATATATTAGGAATGGCTCCGAGTAAGTTTCGGCGAGATGCCTGACTGTTCAGTTATTTTGAATTTGTGAGAATCGACTGAAGGTCATCACTTTTTGAGGCAGTTTCAATTGTTGTCTCTTTATTCTGCAAAAAAAACAAACAAACAAACAAACAAACAAAAAGACTAGCATACGACTTGCACATAACTACTAAAAATGATGGCAACCTTGTGTGTAGTATCACCTCGGCCGCGGCAACAAAAATCATTCTACTCGCAACGATATCTTGCCAAGTCTTGTCTCATAATTGTTCAATAACCAGCGCGGTTTTAAACACATTTTAGAGGTCAACTGAGCAGCCTTTACCACTCAACGGGTATAGTATTTTTTCACCTGAGGTCCTCTGCTCCTTATAGAAATAAAGAGAGGAAAACCCTATGCTCCTTAACAATGATTTCAACTTCACTTTCCCATTAGAAAAAGGTGAAAAAAGGAAAAATTTAAAAGATCTTAATGTTGCATACTCAAGAAGTATCTAATTTCTTACAACAACGTGTTGGTTTCGGTTGGAAGGCGATCTCTCGATTTTGGCAGATTGAAGTTCCACAAATCCCCTTTGAACGATAGTCCACCAGCACAGCCCCTCAGAGGTCGAAGATGGGGGATTTTTCAATACAGTCTAACCCCACCCCCATAAGGACGTAAAATATTTTGATTATTAGTTAAACATGAACTATTTGCATAACACTCCTTTAAATACTCGTACGTTTTCAAATTTGCTCTGTTATTCTTCACCATTTGTTTAATAGTATACTTCTCGATTGCTTAATTTTTTTCCCGTATTTAAGTTCCCTCTTGGGTCTGTTCCAACCACCATAGTTCCTTCAGATCGTTGGCTGACCTTATGTTTTTCATTAAGAATTAGTATGCCATCTTTCCTTGAATATTTATGTTATGTTCCTGTGAAGACTTCCCAAACGCGACGCGTGGCAGACTCATAACACCCTCCACAATATTTTCCTCCCTCTTTGAAGAGAACTGCGGAGCCTGGCACGATACGACCTGAAAAGAAAGGGACGCAAAATATAAGGCGAGACAAATGAACGAAAATTCAATGTCAAAAAAATTGAAGTGATCCTCGAGTGTAACTCAGAACTGTTTCTCATATAAGGGCTTTACATGGTACATTAAACAACAATTAATGGCTTTACATGATACATTAAACAACAATTAATGCTCGATGTTCATTGTGATTTGGAAAAAAAGACGTTTTAATCCCTACATTTGAGTCATAAAACCGTTCCATTTTAATTTGTAGATGCTTATCTAAACAGAGTGCTGGAGAGAGAACCGAAGGATCGATCCAATTCATTTATTAACCAAGTAGTATAACCTCCACGTGCTACGTTACATCCATATAATGTCGGAGTTAAACAACTACAGATTCTCCGTTTTGTGAAAAGCCAAACTTGTAAGCAATAAGTAAAGAGCTTACATTAATTTTGTAAAAGAATGTGACTTTGCTATGTGAATACCAATTTTCATATTTCACTTTATCACTCATCTACAAGCGAGAGCCAAAGATGATGGGAGATGAGAGAAATGTTACAGACGTCGACCGCCTCTTCCCTGAAAGTTCTGTTTCTATTTAGTATTGGAAAAAGCGCCTATACATATTCGGATATGTTGAACATTTTCCATACCTCGCCCTAGCTGAATAGTATAAAGTATAGCTGAATAAAGTATTAATGTCTCATAATCAGTTAATAGTTTTAGGTAATCTCGTCGACTTCGAACCTGAAGTGAAGTAACTGTCATGTAGGGAGTGCCGTATCACTGTTTCTATGGTCTTTGTACGGTGCCTACCGTAACAGTAAATCAAAGAAGAATGTCTCTCGCCGACTTCAATTTTGGCCATTTGTTAGTTTAACTTTTGCAAAAACGCTCTCCGCGATCCTTTTCACCATGCACTCGCTGAAGTTAACCGTAAGCCGTAAAAAAGCCAAACTTTCACCTGTTAGTCGTTAAAGACATCACCTCAACTTCCGAGTCACTTCCAACTTCCGGTGCCTATACTATTAGTTTCAAGTCAGCGGTTTAACTAAAAAAAAAGTTCTTTGGCGCCATTTTGAGTAGTTGTGTAGTCCGCTTCCTCAGTGCAGTAGATGGACATTTGTTCGCTTCATTTCTTTAAGACCACGGCCAAACTGGCATATATCAAGTGCCGTGCTACTTTTGACCGTTTGAATGGACTTGAACTACGATTTTTTTTTACCTATTTCGAGAAATATTCTGCAGATAACGTACACAACTGTACCTGTATTAAGGCCTGTCAATGGACAAACCTGGCTGTTAGTTAATTTTCGACCACTAGGGTAGGTTTTGAATTTTCTCTTTTGAAGGCTTTCGACACCGTTATCTTTTCTTTTAGTTGATAATGACGTTTTCAAAGGTAAATTTTAGAACTCAAAGTTAAGAAAAACTCAAGAATTCGCTAATTTAACAATTAAGGAGCTCTAAACGAGTGTCTGCTTGCAAAGTACTTGTTTATGAAGAAAGATGTTTTTCGTCTCGTCACGAGCGTGGGACAAAGAAAAAATTCTGAGTCCCCATGAGGAATGGAACCTCAGACCTTCGGATTCCGCCCTCCGATGCCCTGCCACTGAGCCACAGAGACTCCGAGGTGAACGAGGTCTATTACGAAGTTCATATGACACATATTTGTATATGCATCGTAACATGTATACAGGTAAAACATTGCATGATAGTGTTTCAGTATGCACATACAGTCAAACCTTTGTTTTGAGTTAAGGTCACCCCTGTAACATCACTTTTTAAGACTCCGCTGACTTGTTATAGCTAAAAACAAAAAAACTGCAGCACAACAATTTTGAAATCATCATTTCAATAGCTGATGTGAGCAGTATCTACATGTAGTAGTCTAAGAGTCCTCTGCAAAGCTTCTGCTGGTCATTGTTTGAAAGAAAGAAATGTTATTTTCAAGGGTTATTGGGTGAATAATGGGGCAGTTACCTTACCAGTGATTAGATAGATTTATATACAGTTTTTTGAAACAGATATTGTTGCAGAATTTTCTTTGGTAAGGCTAAGTCACAGTAAATAATGGGTTTAGGTTTGTGAAACAGCAAACAGAAAATTGCCTCTCATAGCCTGATCATCTGAGTGTGTGTGTTTTTATGATGTGCTGTATTTATTCTCAGGGACTCAAATGTAATGTCCTCTGTCTATCTTAGAGAAGGTTCCCATACGTGGTTTTTTTTGTTATTTTTTTTTTTATTAAAACTTGTTAGTACATGGATTTGTCCATAGGGAGAGGACTGACTGTTAATGTACATGTGTAAATTAATTCATTTGTGAACATACAATGTACATCAGAATTAAATTGGTAGCTTTGGCACTAGTGTGGACCTATTAGATAGATAGATAGACCATCAGCAACAACAGATAGATCATCAGCAACAGATCTGAGTGACTGTATATTTCCTTCAAAACAGTGAGCTTTCTGAGCAATAGCTAGAAGTAAAAAACAGTGAAGGTATTTTTTGAGGCTTTTCCCAGTCATCTTAAGGATGGAATTGTTTTTATTAACATGTCAAATTGCTTAAAAGAGTTAATTTTGTTACGAGACTGGAACTTGATAACTGGAAAGTTTTGTTGGTGGAAATTCTGTGAAACATCAAATATAACATTCTTCACTTGATTGAAACCTTCAGTCAATTGATTCAATGATCAAACTCATTGGAAAATAGTTGTTTGGATTTTCTGGATTACTGAATTCAATCAGAATTAATGTAAGGACTGAGTCTGAAAGATAGAGATTGATTGATTACCGAGGGTTTGACTGTCTACACAAAGCAGGCCACTGATGACATAATGACAAGGCTTGACCTGCTTGCTGGTCAAGCCTTTACCCTGACAAGGCTTAACTCTTTGCTAGTATTTCAATTCAGTCTTAAGGCTGAATGTCAATAATGTTATTTTTGTTTGTTTATCTTTTGTTGTTGAATCACATGTAAATGTTTTTAGGGGAATAATCAAGGGTTTATTTACAGGGCATGTACAGTACATGGATTTTTCTGCAGAACCAAAACAAAACTTGCGACACTTTTCTGTATCCAGGACGAGAGTTTGAAAGGTAAGGACTGAGTTTGAAAGATAGAGTTTGATTGATTACCGACCGACAAGTATCATTTCCCCTCATTTATAACAGGGAGATGATCAGCTACATGCACTATACAGTTTGTTACTTGATCAATAACACCAACTAAATCAGAGGTAACAAATATATTTTTTTTAAATTAATTTTTTTTGTTTTAGTTTATTTTGGATATTTAGGCCAAATATGGAGCTTTAATTACCGTGAGTGAGTAAAACATCATGTTTACAGCAAGGCAGAACTCTAATCTCACCCACTTTGGTATAGCCCTTTAGAGAATTTATTGGAGAAAACGAGCGTCTTCTTGTTGTCAGTTGAGGCAAACATTTGAACTTTAGTATAAATACGGTTAACCCTTTGAACCCTTAGATTGTGTAATCTGATATTGTGATAATCACCCGTGAATAACAATCCCTGAGTCACAAAAATATTGTTGGTCTTTCAACAACATCAGCTGAATTCATCATCAGAGTCAAAAATGGCCTCCCTTAGCTTATTTGCTGTGCCCATGCGAAGAAAACTGAAGTGTGCGCGTAATTCCATCAAACACGAAGGAACAAACTTTAGCACCTCTTTATTTCCAGCTTTCACAGACACAACACTTTTTTTGGTTTTGGTTTGGTTATACTCAGGTTTCATGTTACCCTTGGGGATGCGGTTACACTGTAAAAGACTCCCCTCAGGGTCAAATACAATTAGGTGTGAGTTCACCTGACAAATTGGTAGGAAAAGTACAGAGCAACATGGATGTTACGAATCGAGATCTATTAAGCTAAATTTCAGTGATTCTCCTGCCTATTATACGACAGTCCTCCATAAGTATAACAGTCCAGCAGTTCTTTGCGAGAAGACACAATGCAAAAAAATGCACAATGTCACAGTTATTTTATACATGAACAATGCCAGAAAGATATAAGTCCTTCTTACCAGACTCTACACTGTAAACAATTGCCTTTTACAGTGAATGGTTTGAAGGAGTAACAATTCATTGTTTTGTGCGGATCAATCAGCCCTCTAGGGACCCTTAAAGGGCTGTTATTGTTACTCCTCTGTAGTATTGACAGACAATCTCAGCGGGATATATCACCAGTGTGGAGAAAAGGCCTTTGTTTGCTCGTTTATCGCGCGCACTCGTTGAACTAAAGCGTCCAATTAAAGGGTCAATTCTATCAAACACGAAGATAGGAACCTTGGCCCCTTTTTACTTCCCTTTTCGCAGATACAAAAACAACATTTAGTACGTTGAAAATTGCACAATGTTCATTTTGATTTTTGAAAAGCTGCGACAAACGGATTTTTCTTGATTGTAATACAGTTGTTACATCTCTTCATCCTCTCGGTTACAGATCTTGCAGGTAATATTTAACTCTGATTAGCGTTTTCTTTTTCGCTTGCTTAAACAATATCGTGAGATAGTTAATTGAAAAAGCCATACAAAAGTGTATTTTTCTTGAAGAATGCTTCAGGAGCCAGAAACGGGGTATCTCCTCTCCTTGGCCCCCTTTCCTGAAATAGAGCTTCCTAAAATTGAATGGGGGTTTCTGTTTGGCCTTCTTCGACCAATTTCTAGAAACCACGCCGGTTGCTACTCAATTGGACAAAGCTTGTATTTCTCACTAGTTTATTTTTGCAGTTCCTTCGCCGTATCCCGTTACTTCCTGTTGTAATAAAGTTCGGATATAACGTGCGCTGTCATCTAAAACTTCAGATTGCAGATTGTGAACTTTGATGGTTTGCCATTTTTGACAGCTTTAGTCTTGCTCAAACAATCAGATTATTTGAACCATTCTAACAAGGAGTCTGATTGGCTTATTGTAGCATGCGTTATGAGAGTATGGGGAATGCTGACGACACTGTTTTTCGCTTTGGGATGAAAGTTTGCCTCGAAAATTGAAAGTAATACGTGGGAAACAAATAGAGAAGCCAAATTGATTTCGCTCTATTCTGTTGTAAAGAAGTGTGGAGAAACATTCGACTTCGTACGTTTCTCTCCACACTTCTTTCGTGCTCTGGCCGCTTCCTGCGTCCTTTACAAGAGAACAGAGCTCAGTCAAGGCTCTTCTATTTGTTAATTATTTTCGACTACATTAACATTACTCTGGTCGAGAGTCCTCAGAGAAATATTTTTATGACTTGTATGTTAGTCACCATACGTAGTTGTAAACAACTGATCTTGATACTTTTTTAACCGCAACCTACATGGCTGCTGGTTATTTATTTACTTATTTATTTTCTAACACACATTAATTCATTCGTCACGAGAATTGCTTCAGTCTTGAAGATTTTATTTTGCACAAGGTTGAGCAACTAAAAATGGAAATGTGAAAAAGCAAGTTTCTGTCTAATGAGGAAGTTAATAAAAAATTAACTCCCTTTATTTAAATCTTTTAAAATACAATTTTAATTAATTCTTGATCATACGTATACAGCTATTCAGAAAAAAAAAACCAACAAGTACTGTAAATAATTTATTTTGATACATCTCAACCGCAACTTACACAGGCTACTGGCTTTTTTTTTTATTTTTCCCAAGAGGGAAACACTTCATGTATCTGTTCCATTCTCAAACATTTAGCAGTCCATTAATGTTTCATTTACTTAACATCAGGACAAAAGAGTGGGCGAGAAACTAAGCGTACTCTTTCCAGGGGAACCCCTTTTTCTTCACCATCGTCAAACCTTACGTACACCAAAGAATCACCTGAAGTGCGATTAACATTACCAGTTCGGTACCACTTTTTGTCACGATCACTGAACTGATTGGCTATCACTGGCGAGTTAGGTGATACGTCCCCCATTGATGGCACTTTATCTATGATAAGCAATTCATCACTCCTTGGATAACTGCGCTTTTTATTCCTATCAAAAAATAATGCGAAGTCTACGCGTGTGGGGGTTATTCTTGTGATCTTAGCTCGGTAGTAGTTGTTTGCACCCTTGTTCCAGGCCCAAAGTCCCCAAAATATTGCTCCAATCTGGACGCATACTGAGGAACAAGAGTTGACAATCAATTAAGAAAACTTAAAGAAAAAGTAAAATGCGCGTTACTACGAATTTTCCCAAAAATACTCTCTATACAATCTCAGTAACATATTTAACCTGCTCAGGCTATTTACAGGAACCATGGACCCTGGAACCTTTCTGATAAAAAAAAAATTTAAAAAAAAAACTTCCAGTAGATGAATTGAGGGGAAAGGTTCTTAAGAAACTGTGATGCTGTGTCTGTGCGGAGTATAAGAAGATAAGATAATTTGGTTTTATCAACTGAGTTGACAATGTAAATTGGCCACCCTTAAGAGTTTCTAAAGCTGACTTTTCGAGCGTTAGCCCTTCGTTAGGCCAATTTACATTGTTAACTCAGTTGATAAAACCGAAAAATCCAATAAATTTTTCTTTCATTTTCTATTTTGCCTCGCTTCAACTGAAACAAATTTATCATTCTGAAAAGAGGGTTCAAGTGAGTGGCAGTAGATATGTTAATATGTCGAAATTATCTTTATTATTTATGCCGCGCTTAAACTTACTTTCACACTCTGGAAATTGACCTTCCCATGCACCTCTTCTGCAGGTTGAAAAGGGTGAGCCTCGTACCTCGTAGCCTTTATTGCACTCATACTTGATCACAGAACCGTCGCTGTAATTTCTTCCAATAACTCTTCCGTTTTTGAGTATTCCTGGCTTGTTGCATAAACCTTTAAAAAAATAAGCATTTGAATAAATACAAGAACAATCAGGCAGATTAATATGTAGGCATTGACGAGCAAAGAACATTAGGTGAGAATCAATGAAAGAAAATTTAGTTGACGAAGGAGTTAAACCAAGTCTTAACATATACGTAAGACCGCAATCAAAAAAATCAAACGTTATAATCCGGACAAACTATTGGATGAGGCGAAGGACTAATGAGAATTGAATTAAAGTGATACTGTCAAGTATTTACCTAAATGGCGATGGATTATTCCTGTGCCACGTTATCGCTCTACATAGCTTGATGACGCCAAGTTAGGGCGAGTTAGTAAGCTCCTTTCAAACTATTTCTTTTTATAAAAAAAGAACACTATGTATCAAGTGGTATGTTGCTCGCACCAATCAGATTATTGCATTAGGTATGTATCTCGCACCTAGCAGATTGCCGCATTAGGAGATCACAGCATTGGGGCCTGCTTGTGCTTATACCAATGAGAGACACTCCCAAGAACTGTGAGCTCATCTACCCAGTGTACGGGTTCATGTCCTTCGTAAGGAGTTCGCCGCTATGATCTGTTAAGGTTAAAAACGTGTTTTGTGTACCGCTCCTTCGCTAACGACGCACAGGCCGTCAGCTAATACGAAATTATCGGTAGAGCGTTTGATTTGGAAGGCCTAGTTTTGCTGACTCGGGTAATAAGTGTATTTGCATAAAGCATATTTGACCGATAATCTTGTTTTTGCCTTGTCATTGCTCTTTTGGCGAACGTTGAAAATATCGACTGCAATGTGAAATATCTGTTTCTTTGCAACAACCAAATATAGAGCCTACGTTATTATGTAGTACGTATTTATGTTTTGTAGCTGATACAATCACGGAAATAGCGGGGTTGTGCAAAGGATTAAGAATCCGTAATTATCTACCGCAATACCAAATAATTGCCAAATACATACCGTTGTCAAGTACTGTACTCACTTTTGCAACTTGGACGAGCTGAATCCCATTTGCCGTCGAGGCATGTCAAGCGAGGATTTCCCACTAAACTGTAGGTCTGATTAGTACATTCATATATGACTACTTTCCCGTGAGAAAAGTCTCTACCACTTCGGTTTCCACGATCAATATATCCAGGGTCACTACACGATGCTACGGAACAAAACAAAATTGAGGTTTATTAGACAAACCACTATTTCATAATTATAAGATTAATAACGTAGTGTCTATCTCCATTTTGACGAGGTTTTATTATCTGGAAAGAACATACCCTTGCAAGAAGGAAAACTTCCGTTCCACACCCCATCGTTACAATGCAGAGTTGAAGAGCCATCCATGGTGTACGATGGATCACAAGCGTACTTGATGCTGCTACCATGTGAAAAATATTGATCTTTCAGGTAGTATCCGTTTTGCGTGTATCCATTTTTAGGATTGCCAAGAAATTTGCATTTACCTGAAATGAAGGAGATTTTTTTATTTCTTTATTTTAGTGATTTCGATGGCTACTCAGGCCTAATTTTTTAACTCCCAAATTTCTTTAAAAATTGGTAGGGAACAGTTTTTGAGAGCACATTTGCTATATCTTTCGGGTAGTTTCCGTTTGGCGTGTATCCATTTTTAGGACTGCCAAGAAATTTGCATTTACCTGAATTAAGGATGGCTAGTCACACCCAATTATCTAACCTCTCAAATTCTTTGAAATTGGTGGTGGACGAATCGAAAATACGTTGGGAACAGTTTTTGGGAGCACATTTGTATACAGGTGAAAATACCGCTAAAATGAAGTATGTTTTACGGTAGTTCCGTTCTTATGATATAATTGCTATGTTTTTTTGTTTTTTTTTTTCAGGGAAGCCGCATTAGTTATAAAACCTTAGGCCTTGAGCAAATAACGATGATGAAAAACTGAACCGTTGAGCTTAAAACTATTATCATGATAGAAAAATACCAAAAACGAAAAGGCTAAAACTACTAATAGAAAAACACTTAGTGCTAAAAATAGCATGGATATGAGCTCCTTTCTAAAAACCAATAGCGTCGTGGTCTTTCATCTTATTTTTTTCTGAAAAGGGAAATGAGCGCTTTCTGGTTTCATTTTGAAGACTACTGTAATTTTCCTTGGCTGCTAGCCATGCTGGAACATTTTTTTCGCTCAATATTTCTCCAGCATAATGTCAAGCTTTAGCCCTAAAAAATGTCTTTTTCTGCAGATTTTCCCTTCTACTGTACCATTGAAATATTTTTATTTAAGAATGTTTGCCTCAAGTAATGTAAAATTTAGAAAAGACAAAAACTATCATTACCATAATTATCGAAATGCTGTATCACTGCCACACAAGTATAAAAATACTCTTGTGTTTAACGCACCTGTCATGCGAAGTACCTAACGAATGATTCATATGGGTATGTTAAGTCACCTCTCAAAACATCTCACATTGCATCGCACCTTTACATATTGGGACGTCACCGCTCCAAACTTTGTCCTCACACCGGATTGTGTCGTTTCCTATTAAGTCGTGGTTTGCGTTGCACTTAAAAGTGACTGTACTACCATTCTTGAAATTTTTGCCACGGCGTATGCCGTTAGTTAGATGACCGGGATCTGGACACACGGCTATATTAAATAAGAGAGATAGGGAAAAACAGGGAAGCACATTGGAGATGAAAAAGTAGGACAGAGACATTAATCCTAAGCTATGAAAGAAAAATGTCATTACACTACAACGGTTTCTTTCTATAAACTGGAGTTAAAAAAGAAACATTTCCAAAGATTTTCACACCAACGCATTTCGGGAGATTGTCACTCCAAGTGCCATCGTTGCACTGAATCTGTGTTTCGCCCTCAAGCTGATAATTTTTATCACAGGAAAACGATACCCAAGAGTTGTGGCGTAAGCCCTGTTGCTGTCTTTTGCCATTAGCAGGTGATCCTGGATCTTTGCACGATGCTAAAAGAATAAGAATTTCAAAGCTTGGTTGCTTGTTTGAACCAGTGATAAATATTTTCAGTTAATCTGTGCATGTATTGGATGTACCGTATAAAGAAAAGTCACATGGGTTGCAACAGGAGAATATCAGTTGTTGTTTATTTCTCAGAGTGCACGGGAACGAATCCTGCAATCTGATGGGTTCTTAGCACGGTCAGTATTTTCCTATCTCTGCTCACGGGCACAGTAACACTTTCATGAGTCCCTGAGTACATCACTACCTTCGTTACCATCATAAAGACATCTCATTTAAATAACTTATTAATCCTCTCTTTTTTCTCTCTCAAATCACTTTGGTTGACTGAAAAATATTGGTTTCGAAATGAATTTGTATATTACGCTAAAGTGTCATTAAACCGTCTAAAATAAATTTCAGTCCTTAACAAAAAGTACTTAAAAATTTAAAACGTGAGATATTTGGTTACAATTGAATTAATCGATGGAGCTTTCATTCATTTAAGATCTGAATTCTCTCAAACAGTTTGTTCGCAGTGAAAGGGCCATCGAAGTTTTCAAATGCGGTTTCGGTGGGTCTTTCCAAGTCTGTTCAATTGGGATGCATCAAATCCCCTTGTGTCTCGTTGAAGTGGCTCATTCGAATTTAGCTTTTGTGAAGGAAAGACCAGATTTACAGACGCTATTGCAGCAAACAAACGAGCAAATTCTAACAACTTCAAAATAAAAAAAAATTGAATTTACTTACGATTGATTTCCTTACCATTTACTTACTGAGAAGAGGTTAATCTTCGTACATCAATTAATGGTTGATGAGAGTGAATAATACATTCCGTACGATCATTGACTGTTTTTGAAGAAAACATTGCCGTGACCGTCCTTACCAAACTAGTTCCGTTGTTTTTCTAAGTGTACATATGCTTTTTTTTCTTACGCGCTCCCTAAATGACAGGTGTCAGATTGTGACAGATACTTGTACAAATAATATTTAAAAGTTTGACTGGAAGCCTTTTAGATCACCTTTATCACTACGCAAATGAAAATGTTTCAGTGAAGCCTCTCTCTTTAATTTGCCCTCAGAGGGCACAGTTTTTCCCAATAGGGACCTCCCGGCTGGCGAATATATATATATATATTCTGAGCTTTTTTTACAATGATATCTGCCCCGTCTGTGCTCCCGTAGCAATGAGTATTCGAAGGCTGCTATTTGCCAAATGTGTAGCTACTAACGATGATTTTCCTCTTTCTGCTCCTGTACTAACGGGTATTGGGAGGCTTCTAATTGTTAAATGTGTAACTATTAAAAACGATTTTTCTTTTGACTAACCTCTGCACACTGGAGGGTTAGGGTTCCACCTTCCATCGTCGCACGTCAATGTGCTTCGCCCCTCAAGGGCATAATTTCCATCACATCGATAGCTAACAGTTTTTCCATGGCCAAAATCTTTACCAGATACTCGTCCGTTGCGTATACTCCCGGGACGCACACATGAAGCTACAGTAGTTAGCCAAATGAAAGACAAATTAAGAGATCAATATCATTTTCACTGGTCGGTGACAGGCTGGAGGTTCCTTATCATCAGTTGACTCATGTCATGTTTCATGTGTATAATGGGAACAAATCCTTTATGCATGTGATTCAGAGAGATGGGTACCTCGACTAAGGGATAGGTCTCGTATGCAATCATTATACATCTTTATGGTTCCTACTTCAAATATGTTGGAGAATATACGCACAGATAACGTCACCATCAGCAACGATTTGCATTTTTTATCATTAAAAAAAACAAAAAAGATTCCATGTTGCCGTGGGTCTGTATAGTAATAGATCACAGAAAACGTCAAAATGTAGTAGAATATGAGTGACAGCATCGTTTATCTGTCATGTTTATAGGTTTTGCCATTTTGCAACTTTCCCAAAGATTTCCTTAAAATATCGTTGGTATTTTTAAAGTTAGCATTCGGTTGCAATAAGAGCTTTTAAGTGTTTTGTAGCTAACAAAGTCCCTTAGGTGCTAGCCGAATACTTGTTCTTAGATGAATCGTCACAGACCTTTGCATTTAGGAACGTCATTTGTCCATCGACCATTGTCGCACTCCTGAGTACTACTTCCCTCCATGGTGTAAGAGGCGAAGCAGTCGTAAGTGATCTTTTCGCCATGCTTAATCATTTCTCCTATAACCCGTGGGCCTTTAATAACATAACCTTTAAGAGGTTTTCCCGAAAATCTGCAACGAGCTGCAAATAAGAAGTCAAAACAATGTGAATCTTCGTCTCTAGCTACTAACTAAATACACATTGTGAGAAAAAATGTTAGTAATATGTGAGGAAGATGTCTTATTATTAGAAACTTGGACCTGATGGTTATTATAGATTGCCTTTTCAAGGTTGAAATAAAGAACCTTTGGGCTTCGCGTCTTTTTCGTGGATGAGGTGAGAGTGGAGTAATATCATTTTAATACAATATTTTTTTTGTATGTTTTAAAAATGCACAAAAAATTTCTAAATTCTTAACCAGTTTAATGGGTGCCTTGACGTGTTCCTTATCTTAAGTTATTAAACTTGTAATTTAACATCATGCGAACCATTTTTTTCAGTAAGTCTCTCTGATGAATCATGAATGCTTAACTATCAGCATAATTATATACTAGAGATGCTCACCTTTACATTGAGGTACGCTGGGGTTCCATACTTGGACAACGCAACGAATTCTCCTATTACCAATCAAGTCATAACCATTGTCGCAAGAGAACGTTGCTACATCTCCGTCGAGGAAAGGGCCGACAAGAAACTTCTTGTGCAATTTTCCTTTATTCGGATTTCTCGGTGTGTGACAAATGCCTTGTTAATCGCAGAAGAATTGCAGTTATTATCTTAAAAGTGCAATTTAGTTTTTGCAAACACGAGAACACAGCAACTATTAGCAGATATTACAGTTCTTAACTTAAGATTGCAATTTAGTTTTGGCGAACACAAGAATCAAGCTATCCTAACCTTTGCAGACTGGAAATGGTTTGTTCCATTTTCCATCATTGCATGTGATCGGGGAGGTACCGACTCTTTGATAGCCAGAACGACAAATGAACCTTACAGATTGTCCATGTCTAAAATCTCTGCCCCACAATCCTCCGTTTGGAGGTGCAGCAGGTTTGGCACATGGTGCTATGGAGTCAAAGCAGTTTCGAATTAATAGGAATTTACCTGTTTATCATCATTGTTATACTTTAATGTAATGAATATACAAATGTAAGCAACTAATATTTTGAAAATGAAGACATACTATAGTGCACTGGAGAACTTCTCTGTAAATCGTGACATTAGTTGGAATACAGTAGAAACTATAGCTGAAATGGCTACTTTAAAGTTAGTTAAGCTCCTTTTTTGAATATGGTAATTTACTCATAAATGATTTTATAGGGATACTAAGTGCGGTTTCCTCTTTACAAAAATATATTGTATGATGCATCAAAGCAACCAAAACATTCCTATTTATTGCTTTGATAATGGTATCATACAAATTTCCGATCATCACTTTGAGTCCCTTCTCCAATGCTGGAAGTTAACGTAGCAACCCTACATTCACTGTGAATAGGCCCGAGAGCAGTTGTAAACTGATTTTGATTCAAGGTTCATCGTCCTATGGACGGTGACGTAGGTGCCACGAGTTTCCTGCTTAGTTGCATAGGTTTTTTAATTAGTTCAGTAAAGAAAGGTCTTTGGGTAGAAAAAGGTCATTAGTCTCCTGTTTGGAGCACTTGGGGTCAAAAGAGTATTTCTCTAATTTGTTGTGGAACCCGTATAGCTACTGACCTAATTTGATATCGATGTGTTGATTAAAAAAACGTTTGTGGCTTGTTAAGAAAGTCAATCAAAACTTACCGCGGCAACTCGGCATCTTGTTACTCCACCGGCCGTCTGAACATGTGCTCGTTTGCGCACCCTCCAAGACGTAATTGCTATTACATGAATATGATACTTTTTGGCCGTGACTAAAATTGTTGCCAATCTTATGACCATGTAAAAGAATGCCAGGATCTTGGCAAGAAGCTGTTTGGAAAAATATAAAATCAGTGAGAGAACTGAATTACGCAAGAAAGACGCTACAGTTGTAATCGGCAGCATGTAATTAATCGTCGCTTGATCCATCAAGTGTCCCAAGTTATGGTCCTATTTAATCCAACATGTGGCGCGTTAAGGACTCTTATTTTTCGTTTCAGTTAACTATTTAAAGTACATGACATATTGAATTTTTTTTTTTAAGGGATGCCATTAGAATGCTTCGTTGAAGATCTGAGAAAGAGTCTGGATTTGTTTGATCCAAGGTAATTATATGATGAACACATTTAGAATTAAAAAAACCTTCCTCAGAGAGGGTTTTCTCCGTCCAGAATTTTATAGTTGAGGATTTAAGCTTTTAATCTTTCCCGTGATTATTACCAGGGTTGGGTGTGTAGGAAAGGGCGAGAAAGTAAGTCTGTTTAGTAATGTCATGAAGTAACTCTAACCTCGACATTGCGGAACAGCAGCAGTCCATTGTTTGTTCGTTCGACAGTAAGTGATGTGCTTCCCTACCAGAGTGTAACCTCTTTTACATTTAAATTCCACAGACCCACCATACACGAAACCTTTGGTTACCATCTGTTTTCCATTTTGGGGTGTCCCAGGATCTCCACACTGAACAACTGCAAAGATCAATTGGTCAGTCTATTAATCAATTAATCTTTTGACCAGTCAATCAATCCGTCAGTCAGGCAATCAGTTCGTCCGTCTGTCATCCAGTCAAATTGGTAAGGTTACAATTCTATAGCAAGCAAATGCTATTATTGAAATATTAAAGTTGATCAACTTGGGATTTTTTTTAACTATTTAATTTAAATCTTACGTACTTTCGCATGTTGTAGGAGAGCCACTCCATGTTCCGTCCCTTTGGCATGTCCTTACTCTTGACCCTTTCATCTCGTAACCTGTCTCTGTGCAGTCGAATACTATTCTATTTCCATAGGTAAACGCTACTTGCTCTATTATATCCCCATGATCTGGCTTTTGCAAGGAGCCACAATCCGCAACTTCCGAACAACAACAACAAACACAAATCCAATGAATGAATAGAAAAGCAAAAAATTAATCTCTCAACTCAAATTTATTTCATGTTTATCAAATTTCTTCAACGCATTATAGTTAAACTTTCTACTTATTCCCGTAAGGACAGAGTGCGTTTTCTTATCGCGTTTGAGTCCTATTAAGTGGAACCAGTATTTAGCGGTCCCTCCGCCATACCCCATTGGGTGACCGCTGTTGTCGCATATGGAATATGATCTTAACATTTAGAAGATAAAATATCTTACCTTCACAAATAGGGTCTTTATCACCCCATTTCTCGTTAGCCTGGCATGTTCTATAAGATGGTCCTTTAAGATTGTAGCCTTCATTGCACTCGTATCTGATCTTTTCTTTAAAAGAAAAGACGTATCCTATGATCTTTCCGTTAGGGATATCGTTTGGGCGGCCACAGCTTTTAGCTAATGAAATTAATAAGAAACTTAATCAAATTCTATTTCTGTAAATGATTTTAAATTCCAATCATACAACTGCATGTTCGTTTTTTATGATGTGATCCATTTAGATTTAAATTGCTGGGTAGTTTTGCCACAACGCTGAGAATCAAATGAAGGATACCATGGAGTGAAAATGTAAAAAAAAAACAAAAAAAAAATTCAGCGTGATCTTACTGTAGGTATTTTTCAAATCGTTAGGAAGGTTAAATTTCCAAAGAGAACAACCAAACCAACAATTTATCGGTCTTTCTTGTAGCCTGCTTCTTTTCATCTATAGGGTTAAGAAAAGAGAGTCGACTCTTTCTTTTTTTTCTTTGGTATTTGTTTTTCTAAGCTAGAATGCACTTAAAACCATGCATGTGCATGAGTGCTCAGTGAAAATGCGTTACTCTTAAATCGCTCAATTATGACCCAAGGATCTGGCGTTCGATTTGAGATATTTTAGTAACTGTGTTTGGGGAGTCAGCACGGATTGAGATGCAGGGTAACTCTAATCAGACTAAACTCACGTGAGCAAGTGATGCCTCCACTCCATATGTTGCCTTTCTTACATTGGTAAACACCAAGTCCTGACTTAAAATATCCTTCCTTGCATTTCAATAGCACTCTGTCACCGTATTTGAATTCCCTATCCATTGACCGTGGGTAGATAACAGCAGCTTCTTCTGGGATGTTCGGCTTGTCACATAAGGGAGCTACACAGAATTATAATTAAAGACCACATGATGCTATCATTCAAAGAGATTCAAACTTATTTGTTATAGAGCTATTGTCTTAAAAATAGTAACAAAAAGTATTCGCAAAGTGACATTCATATAAAAAACATGGAAAGAAATCATAGAACAGAGAAAAGGGAAATCAAAAGGAGCTGGTGAACGAACAAATAATTAGAGGACTGATTAACTTCGAGTTTCTATCCAAGTCGTGATCACAAGACATACTTAAGAAGTGGACAAATCGAGAAAATTTAGCTGCCCATTAACTCCTTTGCGAATTATAAAAAAAAATTGAGTACATCAAGGTTAATTTGATGTATAAACTCACCAACGACCGCGATTAATTTCTTTCAGCAGTTCATTTGATGACCAAGCATAGTTAAGTATGAGGAATGAATCCCGAATGAACTACTCACGTGAATGGATGCATTTTGGTTTTGGAGCACTCCATTGTCCGTTTTCCTGGCACCGTATTCGGGGAGTTCCTACCATTTTATACATAACATCATCATAACACCAGAAATGAATTAACTTCACGCCCTTACTACGTTCAGTTCGTCTGTTTCCAAAAGAGATTTGCCCTGGATCCGGACAATAGGTTTCTGTCGAGAGCGAAGAAATGATCCAACATTTATGTTGAAGATTTAAGAACTGAATTATTTGCTTTACCAAATGACTTTCAGTGAATGAACGAGCGTTGGCGAAAATATTACTTCACCAAATTTTACCTTAAGAAACGATTAAGAATGACTGAAATAAACAACGAATAGGCCAAAGATAAGCGAATGCATAAAATGTGAATAAATGAACGCACGGACGGATAAATTGTAAAGTTGTGACAGTGCCGTGGGAAAATTTTTTAAAAAATTTAAAAAAGGCTGTCCTGAGAAAGGATTTTAAACGATTTAAATATGGATGGCTAGATAATCGAAAGGATGCCCAGGTTGATAAATTTTTGGAACACGCATTGAATTCGATGCATCATACTTACTGCATCTTGTTTTTGTTCCATCCCATTTTCCTGTAGCTCTACAAGTTCGTTTTGCTGAGCCGCGGAGTTTATACGGTTTCTTACACTTATATGTCACCACGCTGCGAAAGTAGCTGCCGTTGCTGAAGCTGGAACGACCATTTTTTACCTTAGGTAATTTTTCACATCTAAGGTCTACCGAAAAAAAGCAGTGAAATTAGAAATTTGGGCATTCGTCGTCCTTTTAATTTGTTGATGCGATACTAGGAACAAAATAATTTTATGATAAGGAGTCTATATCTTTTTGTAGACGTGCATTTTTCCAATGGAAGGTTTGATGGCGTAGTTCCTCATTAATAAGCCCTGGGGTAACAATGCTCTCATACGAGCGGTCAGGCCTGATTCAGTGAGGCTTGCAAGTGGTATAATCTACCGCGCTAAATAATCCTACCGAGCATATTCACTAATTCTTCTTTTAATACATCTCCACAAAATAATCTGAAGAACTAAGTATAGGTAACTGTTCCCAGGAGGCAAAAATTTGGTTACTTATCTGTTGATTAAGATATCACGCCTCGCCTAAAAACGTAATAGAAATTTCTATGTCGCTTTCGTTAAGTCACACCAGTGGCTAGCTCGTCACGAAAAATCTTGATTATCAAATTGCGTGACGCAAACGGGGAAATATTGTCTTATCAAGAGTCCTTGTTAATAGATACGTTTGATTAGATCACATAGAACTGCTCTCTTAGTATAATGAAAAACTGAGGACATATTGGTTCAGATTAAACGTAATCTTCGTCGTGTTTCTTGTTTGCGTTTTTTCTTGATGTTTGAGAGAAATCTTGCTGTTATCTCTGAATGAATTACAATTTCGTAATTACAATAGATAATTATGTTAATGTCGTGTAACCATAAAGATATGTTCTCTAGACAGAGTTCTCAAATGTCTATATGCGTGTACTTCTCTCAAAAAGCGCTTAAATACATCAAATACATCACACATACAGTAAAGCCAAGAAACAAGACACGTCCATATATCGTTGTTTCAGAATTTTCCTTTTATTTTCTAGAAATGTTCGTACAAAGTCCTGTAGACGAATGCAATCATATACACTTACTGTTTTTAACGCAAATCATTCCACAGTCTCCATCACACAAACATTTTCTATTTCCTCGGCAATCTCCGTCAGTCGAGCAAGTCTTGCCACAGAATCTCACGTTATTTGTTCTGGGGCAGCCATTAGAGCCTATGAAAACGAGAAAGTCGATTAAAACGAAACTGTAAAGATCTTCATGTATATAATCAACGCATATTTACCACTCTGCTTTGGGTTGCCCTCAATGACTGGATAACAGCAAAGGAAAATCGCCCCTAAGAAAAGTGTGTTCCACATTGATCTATATATCGGTGCGAATTTTATGCGTTATCAGCCTCCGTTCTGACGCATTACTGAAACGCTTCGTCAAAATGAGTTCCTCATGTTACGGTCAATTTTTAATTCGTGTCAGCTAAACAGGAACGTGCTGTTGTAGCTCAACCGGAAAATGATATCATTACTAAGAAATGGCTATTTTCTTTCACAGCTGGATATTTTCCAAAGGCGGCACGGTCTTGTCTATTAGGCTGTGGCAGTTGTCGGAAAAAAAATGAGAGAGGAGAGGGAAGAATTATGTACTCGTGGTATGAGAGTCAGTGAATTTCGACAGAACCTCACCGTAAGCCTCTATAAAACTATAACCACTCCTCCGGGGCACGATTTTGAGGCGCGCGAGCCAAGTCAACACGGTCACGCACTGCTCTGTTGACACACGCTAAGGTAACGCGCGTGGAGGGGCAAAATACTGATATTGATATCGCTGAAACCCGTTTCTCGAAAGTTCCAGTAATGTTACTGGCCCTGAACCATATTTTGAAACCGAAATCTACTCTGGGAAAAGTAGTGCAATTCATTCTATCTATTTCGCCAAGATTAGTTTAGTGGAAACACGATCCTGACTGTAATATGGTTGCCTCACACAGGTCAGGAAAATTTTAATGGAAAATAAAGTTCTTCAATGTCAGGGAAAAGTCAGAATATTGCACTTTGCGTTGGGGAAATTGAAAGAAAATACGATTTCGTTTATCGTTTTGGCACTCTTCATGACGAAAGATAGTGATTCTGGTGTTCCTCATTTACATGGCTTAGTACAGTTGACAAATTCCTGACCAGTTCATCCATACCTTTTGTAATACAAGTTCAAGTTATTTTGTGAATGAAAGCATGCATTTGACTTTTGTTCCTTTATTGTTTTCTAACATTAAAATAATTCTTTAGTAAATTTCACAGAAATGAAAGGAGTTGGATTAGATTGGTAAAATTTTCTTTAGTGAACGACGAGCTGATGTTGGGTTTCAAAGCAAATCAATCCCTTTACCGTGTTATTTAAACTATCAATTAATGTACACTGCATGTGACTTGGTAAAAGCATAATGTTATGGGTGGCGAGGATGGCTGCGAGTGGCGGTTGGAGGCCATTATCAGGACTCGTTTGTACAATAGCTATTTCTATTGGTCAAGGAAATTTAAAATCCTATACTGCGGTAACCATGTGAAAGCGGTTACCGCCAGGACTTTCAAGTTAAGAATAAGCACATGGGCGACAATTTTTCCCGTAATCTATAAGTGTGTTAAAAGAAAAATGAAGAAATGAAGAAATACATAAATAAATAGATAGGAAAAACATCATTTGTAAAAAAACAGGCGGTGGTAGTTCCCGTGACAATAATGAAAGAGGTGATGGGCTGAAACTCAAACTTGAGGTTTTTTGGTTAGCTTTCATAGAAAGCCAATCAATGTTTATTGATTCCTTTCCTATTTGCCAAGTCCATGTTTAACAGTTCATTCTCATAGCTGAACTAATTTGGAAACTTTAAAAACGTTTCCGCGTCCTTTTCCTCTCTTTATCAAGAGTAAAAATGATACTAAGTTGGAATTAGTTCATCGCCGTCACATTATTTTTATTGTGACGGAACGAGCATGCGCAACGTATAACGATAGTAATTTGAAAATGAAATGATATTATCAGCATAAACAACTGTCAACCAAGATAATTTAAAACAATTATCTTAATCAACGAAGATATGGTGACAAAGTTGAAATTTTAAGTTAACAAGCAATCTTTTATTGGTGTCACACGTTCCCTCTGAATTACGACAGAGCTTTAGATCTGCCAAAATGAGTAAATTGTTCCGCCCTAGCAAAACTTAGTGAGAGTACAAGCTTAAGTGGGAGTACCATGTATTAAACTTAATGGGAGTATATCATTAAGTACGACGTATTTTCGGTAATGGGTGCTTCGCAGACAAAAGAGTGGTCCCAATACTGACTGCAGTTCCGGTCACCGCATAAAGTAGTTTAACGCAGTGAGAGGAGAAATATTTCTCAAAAAGGTCTTAATAAGCCTTGTTGGAAAATGAAGGAGCAAAAATGAAGCAAATTAAGCTACACAAGAAAACGAAATATTTAACGAAGACGACAAAACCAAACAAAAACAGAGAAACCAGATATCGCTGCTACTTAAGTACCAGAGAATACCCTTTTCTTTCCCTTAGAAATGTTCTAAGTCACCATACTTCAACTCTAAAGTCAATTGTTATTACAAGGGAAACACGCCTGAGTAGTTTGTTTAAGTGGTTTTCCCCTTTTGATAGGAAAATCGCAAGTGGTTTCACACTAAACACATGGAAAAACCTACGATCAAATGTTTGATTTGATTTTCTTCAGCTAATGGCCTCTTTTGACGTTGGAATTTATCCACTTTCTGTATTTTGAAACCCTTGTGTAATACGCGTACTTTCTGGGTCTTCCGCAACCTTCGCTCCAACCGAACAGTCCGATAACAATCCAGCGCCCAGAGCGAGGGTGCTGCATGACAAGAGGGCTTCCCACGTCCCCAAAACACGGATCTTTGGGCTTCTTTTTGAATCCTGCACAGAACGTGCTTTCCCTATGGTAGGTATAAATTGAAGCTTCCTTGCATTCCTTATCCGGGACTATCGGCACCGTAACCTCTCTAAGCACAGCTGACAAAGGTCCAGTAGGTTCGCCGAGCCTTATTGGTTTGGTGGAACCCCATCCTGCCACTGTCCCGTACCGTAACGGCTTCTCCAAAACTTTGTCTCTCTTGCGCTTTGGTATGCACACCTTGAACAAAACCGAAAAAAAGTAAATTAAACCTAGCCAGCCAGCCATTTATTTAACAGATAAACGTGTGCCATGAACATTCTACTCACTGCAAACTTATATTTTTCAGCGGAGAAGGTTCGGTCACACCTTAATTCTATGCTTTTCCCATCCCAAGAATCCTCGTTAATCCCAAAAGCAACAACAGAAATAAGCGACTTATGATGGCAACCACACGCCAACTTACCATCCTTATATGATCATTTAGCTTCACAGGGTTCTCCAACTCTAACAAAGCAATGTTGTGGGCCATTGAGTATCGATCGTATCCCGGATGTATAACTATTCTTTTAACGCGGATGGGCGTTTCCGTTCCGTCCAATTTATTGCGGTTGAATTCTCCTATATAAAAAAAAAATAGATAGTCGAGTAACTTGAACAAAGGGTTTGTGGTAGCCTAAATGTACTGAAAAAAAAACCATGGCCCACAACCTTTCGCAGCCTAAGTACCATTTACTTTGTAATTTGTTGTTATTGTTGTTGTTTTTGTTGTTTTGCAACAAGAATGTTTTGATAAATTTCATTGCTTGATTGATTTC